TTAAGTTACCTCTAAAGTAACCCTAAAGAAATATCAAACATGAAACAATGCAAAAAAATTGGTCCATCGAAACCGTGGTTCAAACTCGATACATTCTATACCAAATAACACATGTTTTTCGCATTAATAATAATAATTATTATTAAAAGTTAAAACTAAATAAAAGTTAAAACCAATAGCAACCATTTATAAACAAAAAAATAATAATATTAGTAATCTCAAAATCCCTATTTGAGAACTTCCCCGGGTTGGTTTTTTAACCAGAGTGAAATTTGAATATCACCTTTTTGAACAGTAGAGCAATTTAAACGTTTTGGTTTAGATAATTAGTGCAGCTCGACAGTCCCAATAATATACATTAATAATAATGACACATCTGAGGACACGGGTATTATACTATTATTCATGAAAAAGGCAATACTCGGGTAATGTCGGGTAATTCAGCTAGTATTATATAAAAGAAATATCCTCAATCAATTCCTAATAGGATATCACAAAAGTATAAACACAGAACAATCCACTGAAAATAACTACAATCGTATTGATCACACCGTGATGTAAAACAAAACAAAATAGACATAATATTATAATACCTACAACTATGCACCCAAAATTCTCAAAAAAATACTCAAAGACCAATATTTAGAACTCATCAAATCAGGCAATTCTAATATAAATATAATATTTACCATAGTAAAAATTGAGAGAAGATAGTAAAGGGAACAACAATAGTACCTATTAATATTCACCTTTTGTAATTCCCTATAGGGCTTTATATTATATAAACACTGGGCCTCCAAAAGAAAAGACAAATTGTATTTCTGAAGTTAACGTTCATTTTTCGTGAGCCCGACTATAATATACTTATAATATTAGAATATATTTTAAAACAATCTCAATTTCCAAATTATAATAGGTTAATTAATGAACTGATATCAATAGCAAATAACTGTTATATGCTAATATTGTTGTAACACACTTGCCACATATTATAATTTATATAAAATGCAAGTGTTGGGAAATGATAACAAAAAAATTTTCTGGATAAATAATTGTATTCATAAACATTGCTACAACAAATTGTACGCTACCTGCAGTACACGTGCGACGCAACGCTATTTTTTAATCCAGGGGTTCCCAAACTGTTTTGGTTTGTGGCGCCCTATTTGAACAAAGGCTTTCTAAGAGCTTCCCCTCTCATGTGTACGTATTCCGTACGATTTTGTTCGTGTTGTTAGTCCTGTGTAGTAGTTCGTGATTGTATTTAGTTGATTCTCAGCACTTTTAATGATACAAACAATACCGGGATTATGAACGGAAAATGTAACAGGTCATTCATATTACTAAACAGTATGTACAATAACACTCACTTGGGCATTGCTTGCCCCAAAAGGTGATGAAAGAAACAAAGAAAACATCACATTTTTTGTAAAATTAATACATTTATTGCTCTGCTCAGAATCTAAAATCTTGCACTACGTGAAACAGAAAAAATACATAACCACCGAACATAAACCATTCATTGTGGACCACATGTATAGCACCACAACATTAATACGATTTGAAAAATAACAATATTATAGATTTGGAATTTGTGCCATATAGGTAAGGTTTTTAACTCTTGACCAACCAAAATACCAAATAAAGATATTTACTTCTCACCAAAAAACATGCTGAAGTAGAAAATCAAATCATTTGACTTCCACAAAAGATGATGACAGAAAAAAAACCTCAATGTAAAATTAATACATTAATAGCTCTACTCAAATCCAAAAAATACATATTATCATGCAATCTGTAACAATATAATAATATTATTATGATATACATCAAACATAAAATATTATATAATTTTACCCAATATTTATTCAAAATATAATAAATAAATATGAATATTTTTCATTTTAAAAACCGTTTAAGTATAAATATACTGTTATAGGTACCTACATACCTAAAAACATGTAATAATAACAACATTTCATAGCTGTAACCTAAATAATATAACTGTAGACCAACACACTCGACTACTAAAATATATCATTTGTTGTATCAAAAATAATGTACATTGGGTAGCACGGCATTCCAATGCCATTATATATTAACCTAAGGTACAATAAAGAACTGGCATATTGTCACGGGCAGAAAAAGGTCACCTCTTATACAAATGTTAACATAAAGGGTGATCCTTACCGATTACAGTACTGTCACGTATTAAGAAATCGGCACGTATTCGTTTCGGTCAAACGACGGCGGGCATCTTCTCTGCCACCAGCGATGACGGGTGGCCGAAAATTTTTTTTTACCGAAGAGAAAGCTATAGTTCTTGGAAATTTAAGAACCCTTGTTACAGCAATCTGTGGTGTGCCCAGGAATTTGTAGTAGGAGGGTGTTATGAATAATAACACATTTAAAATCATTGTATTAGTAATACCTATATATACCTTAGATACAATCCCTAACTCAGCCACCCACCCACCTCACCATAACAACACCACTACCTGTGGGTCTCTGGCCAACCTGACCGTTACAGTTGGTATCATGAGTGCAGCATCATAATATTATACTGATCATTCATTCAAGCATCATATCAAACAACACGTATCCTGCGAGCAACGTCTGGTTCCTTAACTTTGCAGCTGTAAGGTAATATAAATATTTTAATAATTATAGTAATTTAAATTATTATATAAAATAGTGAAAATTGTATCATTCGGTATTTGCTCCGATCTCTAATATAACATATATATATGATCTGATAACACAATAAATTAGATAATTGAGTATATTATAGGTAGAATCATATTTTGCAGCATGTATTAGTGTAGGAACATATTCGAAATTCGGATATACGAAAGGTACCTATAGGTACACCTAATTATTAAAATTATAGACGATTTTTTTAGCAGTAGACATAACAACCTTGGCTATATGATATTTATACAGATAATATATTTTACTTTGTTTACTTCATTTAGGTTCTTATTAACGCAACTTATTACTTTGCTCTAATTAACGCACTGTTATTTGTTTTAATATTTAATTTAAAAGTGGCTAGTGTTAAAAATGTTCAATGATTTACTTACTTGTATCATTTTCATAAAATTATGACAATCATATTCAAACATTTACATACCTACCTACTAAACAGGGGTGGCTTGGCTACTAATCTTAATTTTGGAAGCCACAAATTCGCAGCGAGCTGCGAGCCACATTGTTAAGATATGTTTGTAAAATGGTTTATAAAATTAAGACACATTTTTCCCTTTATATCAAATGAAGGAACATTTATTTAACATTTATTTGTTTATTTATTTATAGAAATAACTTAAAACTGACTCACGAGCCTCGTTTGGCCAACCCTGTACTATAAGTAAACTATCGAATTATACATATTTCTAATATTTTGTATTTTAACTTTGGACTAATTATCGCGATATTCAGCCAACAATAGATATGTCAAAAAAAAAACATACCTAATGCAAGTGACTAATGCAAATTAGGAAATGAGAAAAATAAATAACAATAACACAAGATAAGCTTAATTATTATATGTGGATCAGTAACTGTTTTGAATTATTTTTTTTTTAATTAATATAAAATCTTAATAATTACAATTAAATATTTATTACAGGTCTGTTTGCTATTTTTGATATTCTAATCGTGTTGGTATAATATACCTATTCCAGTTTTACAAATCTGTATGTAAGTATAAAATTCTTAATTAATTATTTCATTATTATTTTACACAATTAATAGGTATAATATTACTGTGATTTTTTTTTCAATATCGTTTTAAAATGCATTATTTCTATTTATAATCATATTATAATTTAATTTTTAAATACTATAGAGTAGTAATATAACTAAGTTGACATATCAGTCGTTATTAGATAACAATGAATTCCCAAAGACCTTAAAAAAGTTATCAAGATTGTATTATTATGCGATTTTTTTTATTTTGAGTTATAAGTTAGGTAGGTATAGTTGTTATATATTCAAATTTTATATTATAGTTTATACTATAAATTCTATACAATTAATAGGTAGTAAAAAAAAATCGTATAGTAAATAATTGTAGGTACTATATATGTTAATATGTCATAAGCAAGAAACATTACTGAGCACAATATTATTTGATGATTTCACGTCAATTTAATTATAATACACTAATGTATACTTTATCTGTAATAAGGTTTATATGTCATGTTAAAAATATTAGAAATTTTATTTTTCAAAAATTATTATGACATGTATACCTACTTTATTTGGTCATCTTTAAAATAACTATTATATTATATTAAGTTAGGAATAGTACCTATGCATCTACTGAATGCAGTAAGGTAATACCATTGATTATACATAGTACTATGTATAATCAATGGTAATACACATTACCTAAATAACAAAAATTTGCTTCAAAATTTCTATTTAAATTAATTTTTTTTAAGTCCTCTAATAAATTACTGTTTTAATTTTTAATTATAAAAATAATATAAAATATAATAACATCATATTCGATCAAACAATTATTTTATTATAATCGTTAAATATGGTTAAATTTTTATTTTTTAATAAATTGTACACTAGGTAGGTATACAATATATTATACTTATTATAAATTAAAATACTTCTTTAAGACGATTGTTATTTGAACCTTACTGTCTATTATTTTAGCGTAGGTAGTAATAATTATAATATGAACAATCACCTGTTAAGATATTTTTTTTTATTAATCACTAACCCTACTTATTTGATCAATTATGTTTTATCATTTTAGATTTAAAAACAGTGATAGATATTATGACATATATTTTGTAACTTCAGTTAATAGCTGTAAATTGTTGTACAATAATTTATACTGAACCATGTCATATATGTTGATTTAATTTGCTAATTTATTGTAATTAAAATATTCTTATCTAGCTAGTAGATACCTAACACCTATTATATTAACCCGTGACATTGTTATTTTTAGATTCGATCTTTGATATCAAAACACAATGTCAGGCCTACAAAATTATAGTTCTCAGTTACTTAAGTACACAAGACTTTTCAATAATGGCTGTGTCGCACGTTTACGTTCAACTGCTACGTCATCGTTTGAAATGATTCAACGAGAGAGAAAAGTGTCTGCAAACAATTATGATCCTAGCTCCGTGGTTATCACCAGAGGAAAAGGTTATCATTATAACTTACACTATTAAACATATAAATTAATCATTATTGAGTATTGACAATACAATTTTATTTCGAAAAATTTCAGGGATTTATATGTGGGACGTTGAAGGAAAAAAATACTATGACTTTGTGGGAGGATTTGCCACCCTCAATCAGGGTCACTGTCATCCCAAAATTATTAAGGCCATGACAGATCAATTAAATAAACTTCATCACACGTCAAGAGCTATATTTCATGATTCGCTTTATGAACTTAATGAGTTCTTGACTGAACAATTTGAATATGAAAAAGTTTTGAACATGAATACTGGTAAAATACATTTTTTTTGATATGCATTTTGTATTATGTAAATATAATATTTTAACTGAACATTTTATAACTGAAATAATTAAATCAATATCGACCATCAAATATTAAATTTTGGTTACCTACTCAATTAATTTTCTTCGTATTTATTTAAGGTGTTGAGGGAGGAGAGTCTAGTATCAAGATTGCTAGAAAATGGGGATATAGGGTGAAAAAAATTAAACATAATCAAGCAGAAGTTGTATTTGCTCATGGCAACTTTTGGGGGAGAACAATCGCCGCCATTTCTGCATCCACAGATCCAACATCTTGGAATGAATTTGGACCTTTTGTTCCTGGTTATCAAATAGTGCCTTATGATGATTTAGAACAATTGGAGGTAAATATGAGGCAAAATTAATTATTGAATTATCAAATCGTTTGATTCTGTTTGAAGGTTTTAATGATTTTATTTAAAGAAAATAACTGACATATTGTTTAAGTATTATTATTTTCATAAACTCGTTTTATATTATGTATAATTTTGAAAAAAATATTTCAAGAGTTCTAAATGTTTTTTTATATATTATTTATTTTGCATATATTTTTCATTTTTATTTTATATCAGGTAGTTATAAAAAAATGTATATATACATCAAACATATTATATGAAATATCTCAATTCATTGACCTAAGTATGTAGATGTATTCGCGGATAATATGTGTACGGGGGTTAAGTTAATTTCGATGCTCGAAGTCACTGCGTAATAATATATTATACGTATATAATTACATGTTTTAATTTATATAGGTATTTAATAATAAATTAGTATATTATGAGATACTTTTTTTTTGAGTTCTATATATGATATTTAAACACCAATTACATGCATTTGTTTATTATTATTTGGGTCATGACTATTTTAAATTCTTAAAAATCCCTACTTTTGTGGCCACTATATATTGTCGATCGCTATCCTAATGTCGGAATGTAATTTAAGTTGATGAGTTCTGAATATTATAGTTTATAATATAGTAAATAGATAACAAATTAACAACAGTTACGCTTGTGATCTAATAATAATTATGTAACGATACTGTAGCTATGTTATAATGTGATAATAGTCAATGAATTTTATATTCTATGGTTAAGTAAATAAGAGCTAAGGGGTGAGGTGGATAATATAAGGTTTGTTGGAGATAAATAAATAATTAATAAATTTGGCTAATATTTCAAGATAATTAATTTTGCGATCATACAGGATGCTCGATTGACTGAATAGGAAATTTACACAAACTATCGTCGAAGTGTATACCGGTGTGGACGATGAGTCTTTTACTGAAAGACTGGCCCCTGTATCGACATTGTTTGATCTTTATATTGTAGGGCGATGTTTGTGTAATCCCTTCATTTGTTGATGTGTATTGACTTTAAGGTATCACGATGCATTTATGATTTTATATCTATATTTTACGATGCAACGTAAATACCGCCGGTAGAGGATTAGTGTCGTTTTGCAAAGCGTCCGATCGAACATTGAAAGGGTGTGGAGATTTAGAGTATCATTTATGTGTTAGGTATATAAAGAATGTGTAGGTATATACCTAATTTATATGTATATGTATATTGCATCATCCCACATCATGCATGGTTCATATAGTAATTCTTTAATGAATCCTATTTTTAAATTAATTTTATTAATCCTATTTATATTTAAGGTATATCCGTACCTACTTTGCAAATATTGTATATTACATAAATTAGATTTGTCTTTTATTTATCACTTGGTTTTACTCTTTATCAGTAGTTATGTTTCCAAATGATAATAATATAGTATTATAACATATTATTATGTTTTTAGTTTTATATTTATATTTTTGATTACTGCTATAGTAATCATATTATATGTAATGAACTATGTTTTAACTCTTGATTTAAAATTTTCTTATAGAAAGCATTGAAAAATCCTAACGTGTGCGCATTTATGGTAGAACCATTGCAAGGCGAAGCAGGAGCAGTTGTGCCTACTCTAGGCTACTTGAAAGGAGTTCGTGAGCTTTGCACAAAATACAACGTTCTTTGGATTGATGATGAAATACAAGCTGGATTGGGTAGAACCGGAAAAATGTTAGCAGTCGATTATGAAAACGTCAAACCTGATCTGTTGATTCTGGGAAAAGCGCTTTCCGGGGGAGTCTATCCGGTGAGTATGATTTGAAAAACATTAAGTCTTCCCAATTTTTAACACCTATTAAATAAAATTAATTGACACAATAGGTTTCTGTGGTATTGGGTAACAGTGAAGTAATGGATGTCCTCACTCCTGGTACTCATGGGTCTACATATGGTGGAAATCCGTTAGCATGTAAGGTCGCGCTGGCTTCACTAGACGTAATCATAAGCGAAGGCTTGGTAGAAAACGCATTCAAGATGGGCGAGATCTTCAGGTCTGAACTCACTGCTCGTTTGGATGAAAATAAATTAGTTCAAGTCAGAAGAAGAGGCTTGCTGAATGCTATCGTGTTAAATACAAGTATGTCTTAATTTAACACATATTATATATACGTAATATTTTTATATACGTAATAATACATGTGCAAAATAAATTCACTTCGTGTTCTAGGTATTGGCATTATACCTATTTATATTTACTATTTCAATATTTATCTATAAAAATATATATTTTTTTTTCATAATAAGTGAATAATATTTAGTTTTATTAGCTTATCCAGCTTTATCGATTATTCTATCGAAGCAGAAGTTACCCATTTAAACCATGTAAATATTGTCGTGTTTTTTCAAACCTTTATTACTAATTATCTACTAAATAAATTATTATCTAATAAATTGGAACACATCAGGACGTTCGTGCAGATGATACTTTAGTAAAAACCATAGAAATCGGGGGGTTAGAAATTCAGTTGTTTAAGGGAAAGTGCAAACTTTTAATAAGAAACTATATTGAAATATGGAATCACAGGGGGAGAAAATATTACTATCGATGGCTACAACACGTTACAGTATTGATGTTTTTTTTCATTTAATTATCGACAATATTCGTCTTCATCGTAGCTTTCGTCAAGTATCCTTATGTTGATGGGTTGCTGTTATTATGGGTTCTTACTTTAAAAGTTTTTGATAAACAAATAAATTACTATTAATAAAGAAAAAGGGTCCTGTATAGTTTGCAAAGATGTTTATATTATTATAATCCTCGAGAAACAAAATTAATAAAAATGTATTGAGGTAAAACATTTATGATATCATAACAAAAACACTTCGTCGATCTCCGTCAAAAAAAAATTGCGAAGTAAAAAAAAATCAGTCATTTGTGATCTTTAAACACTATAAAGATTTGATATCATGAATAAATGCTAAGTACTTAAATTGAATTAAAGTACATTTATTTTGTTTCAATGATTTATTTACTTTGCAAGAAATATTTTGACAATAGTGTAGAAATGTCCATTATAATATTATAATGAAGTTCTAATGCCTTTTATTTATTTTATAAACGTCTTATAAATTACGATTTTTTATTTAACTATTTTTTTCACGGAGTTCGGCGAAGTGTTTTGTTATGATAATATTTATGACTAGGTATACATTATATAAGTATGATGACATACTTATTGTTTGATTGTTTTATTCGTGTTTTCGATGTGCAAAATGTAATACCTAATAAACCATTACTGTGTATGTAGGTACTTTATGGTGTAATAATAATTTACATACAAAAAACTTATCGTTTTATCATTCATTTTGTACTACTCATAATAGTCAATAATTTGATATGAGTTCAAAATAGTTTAGCAACTTAAATTGTCAACCAATACACGGTTTTCATGTTGAGCTGTAATTACTCAATAGATAATATAAATTACAGTTGTTTTAAAAGATTAATTTTTTTGTTTTGAGATTAAACATAGAATATTATTTTAATTTGTATTTTGTATTACACTTCCAGATGGCGTATCCAATTATGTCTACAAGTTAAACAACGAATTGAAAACTAATGGATTGATTTCTAAGTCTATTGGATCAAACGCATTGAGATTCTCGCCACCATTAATAATTACTGAAGAACAATTACGTGAAGGAATTGACATAATTGTTAACACTATAAATGATTTTAATATTTAAATAATTATCTTTAATATAAACGCAAAATCGATGTACTTTTTATGGACTATTTCATTCATTACAATTAAATATAATATTGTTATTACTATCTTATAAGTTATAATATGAGAACAGAAAGATTGTAATTCAAAATTCATAAATTGATTTTTGTAAATATTACCAGTACTTGGAAAAAAATATAAAGCTATACTTCTATAACTTGAAATGCATACTTGACACTAACTTATAAAATTGTCATTTTTACGAAATTGAGACATTATAGTACTTAAAATAATAATATTGTTAAATTACTTGCTGAAAATACAATATTTAAACAAGTTAATATCACTCTGCTACACAGTATTTGTCTAGAGAGTCACGGTAATTGATGTGTTAAATTGGAATTCAATAATCATTGTACATGATAAAACGAATCTGAGAGAAAACGTTTAGTTAGTTCATAATATTCCTAAGTATATTTTATAATATTGTTGTTAGTTATTTAAGTAACTTATGTGAAATTAGACTTAAGTAATACAGTAGGTAGAATTAAGTTTTTCCAAAAAAAATGGCACTTGAAAATGTCTTTGTGTGTATACAATATAATACATAATATTCATCAAATATTTTTAAAATTACAACAAAAGTAACTCAAATCATTATTCTACTTTTAAATATCTAATTTCGTCAAAATTTAAATTCAAAATGTATATAAAAAAACCCTGTATATATATTTTTAAATTATTTGGTTACAATATAATAATTAACTACTTATGGCAAACGTTGTTTTAAACTTGAAAACATTAGCTATACAAATTGAACATGTTATACGTTTTGAACTACAAAATAATTTTCAAGTATTAGAGATTTTGTAAAATTTGAACTTAAAATGCTTCTAAAAAAAATAGTTCCTATGTAACTTAATAATTTTCAACTGTTATTATAAAAACTAATATGGTATCCTATTTCAAATCTTAGGTATATATAGAAACATTTTTATTTAAATATTTAAAAATACCAAAAGAATTGTAAATATCTATAATAATAACTAAAACCGACTGATAACAATTAGTGGAAATGTCAAGTATTGACATTTGGTTTTTTATTACAGTTAAAAATGAGAAATAATATCCTAATCTTTTATAGCTTAAAAAAAATGACCATTTACACTGAATGTTTATATTAGTATTTTTTATCTTCCATAAAACTTTCAAAATGTTTTTACATATTTCGAGGTATTTATTGGCATATGGCATTTTCGTTTAGTATTAGTTTTTAGATCCTTAGTGGAACGATGAATGTATAAATTTTACAATGATGTGTGTTTTTTTTTTTTTGTGTCTGTCATCACGTTTTAATACAGTCAAAGTGCTTGGATTTTCTTCAACAGTATCTTTTCTGATAAGAAAGTGAATCTAGTTGATACTTTGGGGGGTCAAAAGTAAAAATTTCATAGTAGTTTTCGCAAACGCCTGGAAAACAACATATAATTTAAGGAAAAACGGGAATTTTTACGCAAAATCGAACAAATTTCCAACAAATCGATTTTGGTTTTTGGTGTAACTCTTAAACGAATTACCGTAGGTACATGAAATTTTCACTGGTTGTTAATATTTGCATTTTCTATACACGATAACATTTTCAAAATATTTTGATTTGTTTTGAACTGTTTAGGCACATTTTCATTTTCCATTTCCTTCTAGCTTTTTTTCTAAAAATATCAATAAAATTTTATTTGTTGGTTAAGAAAGCTTGACAATTTAATAGAAGGCTCCTAGTATATTGTTTCAAAGGCAGATGAAAAATATTAAAAATCATTTGTCACAATTTTTTTTATAAGCATTTAAAGATCAAATTTTGACAAAATTTATCAAATTTAAAATTGAATAATTATTTTGTAGTTAACAATTTATAAAATGTTCATTTTTATATCTAAGGATTGAAAATTTAAAACAAGATTCCACGTAAGTGGTAGTTCATTCTGTAACCAAAAAGTCTAAAAATACAGAAGCACAGATTATTTTTATAGTCATTTTAAGTTCAAATTTGGACGAAATTACATAATAAAAAACCTAGAATAACTATTTTAGTTATTTTGTTGTATTTGTATAATATTATTTGTGGGTACTTGAAACTTCTAAATTATACTACTATTATAGTATATAATATATCTATATGATAGTATCAGGGTTTGTTATTGGTGTATAACGCGTTATAAGTACCTAATGGATATTATGATATGGTTAATTTGGAATTCATTATAGGTCAATTTTTTTTAATACGATAGATAAGTATATAATATGTCTTATACCTTGAAGGACATACCGTGTCGGCTCAGAATCATTTATCTTATACAATGATATAATATCATTGAATTCAAATATAATACCATCCATTATACAGTGACCCACTAGTAAAATACTGTACAGCAGAGCGACACCCACTTGTCCACCTTTTTTTTTCTTATTTTTGTGCCTGTCATCAGCTTTTAGGACAGTAAACGTGCTTGGATTTTCTTCAACAGTATCTTTTCTGATAGGGAAGTGAATCTAGTTTTTACTTTGGGGGGCCAAAAGTAAAATTTTTCCAGTAGTTTTCAAAAGCGCAGTAAAAAACAAAAGAAAAATTAGGGAAAAACGGGAATTTTTACTCTAATTCGATTTTGGTTTTTATTGTTACTCTAAAACTAATGGACGTATATACATGAAAATTTTACTGGTTGTTTATATTTCTATTTTCTATATATGATAAAATTTTCCAAATATTTTGAGTTATTTTGATCTCTTTGCGGACATTTTTAGTTTCCATTTTTTTTAGTTTTTTTTTCTATAAATATCAATGGGTACAAAAGCTTAAAAATTTAATAGAAGACTCCTAATTTATTGTTTCAAAGACAGATGAAAAATATTAAAAATCCTTACTCACAGTTTTTTTTATGAGCATTTAAAGTTCAAATATTGAGAAAATACTTAAAAATGACGAACATTTGCAAATTATTTCGAGTTAGAAATTCATAAAAATTTTTCTTCTTAAATCTCAGATATGAAAATGTAATACAAGATTCCTCATAAGTTTGTTTACCTTTATCAAAAAAAAAAATGTCTATTTTTGCAACATTTAATATTTACTCGATTTCTCATGTAACGATTTTCTAATTTTGTTGTAATTAAAAAACGAATGACTGTAGGTAGATACTTGAAAATTCCACTGAATGTTTGTATTAAAATGTACATTTTTCTAAAAGTTGTACAGTCTATTCGTATTTTAAGAATAAGAAAATTAGTCAAAACTATTCTGGTATTTATGACCTAACCTAACTGATGTGGTAATTTTTAAAAACCAAATTACTAACAACCAGAAAACAAAATAAATAAAACTTTAAGTGTCCAATTACTGTAATATTGGTGTTGTGTATATTAAGAAGTACCCGCACCTACAATACTCTTCAACGTGTAAACTAATAAAATATAAAGGATATAGCTACTAAAATATAATTTAATGATACATTATTTTCGTGGAAAGTAAATAAAATGTAACAACATATTATTGTTGATTAAAAAGTCATGAGTTTTATTTTATTTTTTTAATTAAATCAAAAAAAAATCAAATATTATAAATTTAAAAAAAAACATATGATTACATGACTTATTGTTTTTAAACTCTGAATGGAATATAACATACGGTGGGGTTACATACTATTTTAATTTTAAAACTATATATTGAGTGTTTACATAATAATATAGAATTAGAATAAAAATATATGATCATTTTTTCTTAGGTATTTGGGAAATAAATTACAACAATCCGTGTTTATATTATTTAAAAAAAACTGTAAATCACAAATTATAATTGGTCATAACCGTTGTACCTTGCGAGTTGTCTGGCCAACTACGAGTAAGATGTCGACAGCACAAACATTTATGAAAACCTGTCGTTTACTGTATTTCAATTTATAAGTGCAGTATAATATTGTAAATCATAGGTACATATTTTTGTATGTAATATTTGCATGATAGCGCATCCAGCAGCAGGCCGCTTGCTGGGTCGGGCTAGCAGGATAGGTGCTCGTGGCCTCGCCCATGCCAATTGTTTTTAAGAAGAGAGATAACAACTTACTTAAACTACAGTAGTGATATTAATCCAAAGAAACTTTCTCCTACTTGTTACTGGAGACTTTTACTTTCATGTCCTCTCACATTATGATAGGCAAGCATCTAGGCTCTGTAAAGAAAAATTGCCCCTTAACATTACATATGGTTAAATATTTCGATAAACACTTAACGGGGTCTCTATTAAGGATAGGAACACGCCAAGCAAATAAAAAAATTACAAGAAAAAAAACAAAGAGGAATCGCCGCGTGATAAAACCTTGGTCGTTAATATTGGTGTAAGTGTCTGATAGGTACCATTATTACACAGACTATTTACAGAAATATCAACGATCAAAGTCTTTCAATTTTCAAGTTCCGTGCAGTTCTTCGTCCCTGAGGATATTAAGACTGGTTTAAGAGGTTCCTTATATATAAAGTCAATATGTGTCTGACGTGACTGGGGAGAATGTTGGAAGAACCGTTCGTAGTTTAGTTTTTAATAGGTACCCTTTGGGGTGGTGAACAACCAGAGGGCGCGTGTGCGCTCGTGCGTGGTGCTTATGAGCGTCATCACAGAGTGGTTAATATTTTCCGGGTCTGTCGATTAGACCACCCACTGTCGTTATCATTTTGCCGTTATCAAAAATAAACACCTTCTGATTTAAATTGTACAGTTATGCAAATATTAGTGAAAATAATTTTAGACATGTAGGTGTATGTAAATTATTAGTATAATAGACAATTTTTTTATTTTCAGGGCTCTGTTTTTAGTAAACACATGTTACCTTTTTTTACACATTTAAGAGAGCTCCAGTCAGTCGTGGTTTAAGGAAATTAATATAGGCAATTTAACATGAGGACATTAAAATGACTTTTAAGTGTGTGCAAAGTAAATGAGCTTTTGTATGTGGGATTTTAATCTGTAATCGTTTACGGTCAATATTTCCTATAAATGTCCCGAATTATAACAGTAGGCCAGCATAATACCGCCGCGGTATGTCGGTCGTTATTTATATTTGTCGGCAATTAACTTATATACTCGCAGGCATTAACGGTGATTTTAAATTACGATCAACTTTTTTCAATTTAAAATAGGTAAGTAGTTTTTAGACCAATAAACTAGAAAAATCTGAAGGAATTTTTTTTGACGGATTTTAATTTTTTAAACGAATTATGATTGATTAACAAGTTTACTAGGTCTTGCCAGAGTTGATTTTTAATATTTAAATTATTTTTAGTGTCAGGATGAATATTATAAACACAAAAATATTATATTGTTTATTCTTGGATAAAGATGAAAAAATAATTATTGAAAATCACCTCTGGCATAACCTAGTAAACTATTGTTAATCAATCATAATGCGTTTTCAAAAAAAATCCGCCAAACCAAATTAGTCCAGTTTTGTTCAACTTTATTATTTTTAAAAGTCACTTTTTTTTCATCTACTGGAGCCCCCTTAAATAATTTTGGTCATTGACATTATTTTCGGCCGGCTAAAAATGTCGTTTCTAAAATAACGATTTTAAGTGTCGTATTATAACAAATATAATATGATGGGCTATAAAATAAATTGTACAATATATTAGGGAAAAGGACATATTTTTACTTTTTATTTGACAGTTTTGTGGTATTTTTAATCAAATAAGTATTTTATCACATAATATTAATACAATTGATATTTAAACTGTAGCCTCGTGTTTAAGGGTTCTCACCTCGTGAAATAACAACTGCTGGTTTTCAGTATCAGTTGCCTGTTTATTTCTATGTTTGTTAAATATTTATTTACAAATATATGGGACGTGGATACTCTAGCGCGATAGTCAGGCCATTGAAGCGGGCTACCGCCTACGAAGTAGGTACCTAATCTCGACAAGTCAGACTCGTCCTATGTTACACACCTTTGTAGACGGGTGTATAATATAGACATATAGTATAATGTATATGGGATAGGGCAGACCACGGACAGAGCTTACTATTTAAGTGGCTGCTATAGTTATAACCTAACCTAACATTGTGAGTCGGGCCAGGAGACCTTCGTCTAGGTGCAGTAATTTCTCGAACGATTGCTTGGTTGTGCGCAGGCGAGGTGGCCTATCAATATCAGCGGCCTGTCCGATTGTTATCAAATAATATTGTTACCATTAAAATGTTTATATTATATTACCAAATATTATAAATTAAAAAAAAAAACCATATGACTTACATGACTTAGGTATTGATTTTTAAACTCTGAATGGAATATAACATACGGAGGGGTACATACTGTTGATTTTAAAGCTATATATTGAGTCTTTACATAACAATATAGTATTCGAATAAAAATATATGAACATTTTTTCTTAGGCATTTGGGAAATAAATTGTATTGTTTATTTTTATTTTTCATTAACTTAATGAATAGAAATCTCAAGGAGCCAGTTAAAGATAATTTACTTTTAATATAAATGTATGAATTATTTTTAGTAAATATTTATTAAAACCTAACAATATATTATACGGGTGTTTAATTTCTTACCGAAATAGAATTGAGAAAAACTCATCAAGTCGCATACCACTTATGTGTAACTAAATTATTTTGTTTTTGAAATATTATTTTATTTTGTGGCGTAGGTACATTTTTCTAATCAGATAAATGTATACATTTTCATTGATTAATATTTTATGTAATATACTATGCATGTTGTTTTTTTATTTTCATTTTATAGGAGGTTTTAATTTAATATAATATTCATGTTGGTAAAGTCGTGACTATAAGTTATTCGCCCCGCTGCAGGTAGACAATCCGCTATGATTGAATTAACTAGCTTACTAATAATGGCTTCAACTATTATATAAGGGTCATGCGCTTTAAATCCCATAATAGACGGACAGTGGCTATTACTTTTTTTTTTTTAAACCTTATTTGATAGTCGAGACTTAGCAATGGTCAACGAAGTATATTCTCGATTGTGTATGGATAATTTTTAATAAACAACACTTCGGTTCTCAGTTTTACAATATTTATTGTGTACTATAAATAATTGCACATCACCACGTCGATTTGTATACTGAATTGAACTAAATTGGTTTTATTGATATTTATTGTGAATTAACTCAACACAGTAACAATGAATAACGATCAAGGTGACGATATAGCGATGCAGGAAGAAGTGACAAAACAAAGAATGTTGGCACAGAAAAAAGAAAAAAAAGTATGTACCTACGTCCTACACAATTATTGTACATTATAAATAAATGCACCAATAGATTGGTAAACATAACACGAAACGAAAGATTTATTTGTTACAAAATAAATACACTTTTTAGTTTTATTTTTAAAGTTTTTATTCAAAACGTCTCATGAAATAAAAAGGTTAAAAACGATAAAAAATATGTGTATTTTTGATGTTTATGAATGGAAACATTCAAATTTTAAATGCGTTCCAAAAATGTAATGTAAATAATCTAAGACAATGACGTTTTATAAATGACAGTTTTAAATTAAAATGTATTATATTTGATTGGTACCTATTGACAAATTATTAATTGACTGCTTAGGATTAAACATCATCAAAATGTTTTACAATAACAATCATCGTAAAAAAATTAATCAAATATTTACACACGTATTTTATATTGTCTGGTCGTTTTTTTACCATGATCATTATTTTTATTTTTTTCACAGATAAAAATTATTCGAATATTGACCGTCATTGCATACTTAGTGTCCGTATCTACTGTGGCGACCATGTTGTCTGCGTATTATGTTTTTATCTGGAACCCACACGCTGCTAATAACACTCAAACGCCCAACGCTGAAAGGTTGGTTATGGCGTTACAAAGGGCTGGTGGTGAATACGTTTTTGCTAATAGCGCTGATCACGATTATACAGGTAAAAAACTCTTATAATAAAGAGATATAAAAAATTCTGTAAAATGTACAGCTTTTATTTTAATGTAATTTTCGTTTGATATTTACTGTCTTTGATGCTCAAATTCTTAGCGATGTAATATTGCACAGAAAATAACGTTTTTGGCAGTCTAGCATACCTATAATAAAAACGCATCATATTATTTATATCATTTATGCTCAGATATAATATTATAACTGGAAAAAAAAATATCTTCATATATATCATTCAAATTATTTACTCCAAAAATAGTTAATACCAGTGTTACATACATATATATCAAATTGTATAAAAGGTTAATATATAATAATGCTAACTAATATGATACATTTTTTTGGTATGATAATATTTTTTAAAATAAAATAAAAAAAAATACTTTTTGAAGTAGATTATTAAAAAATGCCAACGTTTTTATATAATTCGTAATCGACTATATTGTTATTTGGCAAACGGACATTAGGTATCTCGTAACTAAACATTTGGTTCTCAATTTATCACGTTTTATCTATAAAACAATTCGACTAATAAAGCGTGAAAGATTTCTGAAAATAAATCTAAATTTTCAACATGTTTATTAGGAACCAATTTCTACACTTTTTTAATTTTAGATTCGGAGCGGGGAGAGAAAGCTAGTGGTTTTACAATGGTGTTTATTATTTTTATTTTTTTTCTTAATTCCTATCAGAAAGAGCGCTTCGATTTCAACATATTATAGTATCTTATCTTTTTGAAAAGTGGATCAAGATTTTACTTAAGAGAGGTCATTTTTAGATTTTCTCAAAAGTTATTTTTCCGCGGGAAAAACCACCGAAAAAAGACGAAAATAAAAACGGGTTTTTAATTTCTAGTGCTTTTTTTATCAACATAAAAACGAATAAAAAATTGTATTGAATCAGTTCATGTTTTTTACAATATAAAATATCCAGACTGACAAACTATCTCCGCTTAGAATCGTTTTTCTTATACAATTATATATCATTTAATTGAAGAAGTTTAATACAAACCATTATACCTTGACCCACTTGCAACCTACTGTACTGCAGAACAACATCCACTTACCTTCTTTTTATTTAACATTTAACCTACCCTATAATTAATTATAAGATCATAATATTACATAAATTTAAAAATATACTGTATGAAATTATGACAAAAAAGGTGGAAGTAGGTAAACGCTTAGCTATGCAGTAGGTTTTCACTATTTTACTGTGGAAAAATGTGTTATGGGTATTTATTGAAAAAAAAAAACTAAAAAAAATCGAAAGTATATAAAATGTCTATAAATACCTTTTAATTATTCGTTTTTAAATTACAACAAAAAGATAGAATCTTTTGATGAGGAATCGTAAGTTTACGTACTTATACAATTTCGTCAAATGTTTAACTTCAGACGAGCATACCAAAATATTATTTTGTGAATTTAAGCTCATATTTATCAATTCCAGTAATTTAAACTTATAAGGATTATCGTATTAAATTTAAAAATCTGAGGTATGAATATTTAATTAAACAAAATAGTTTGCAAACGTTCATGTTTTTGATGAATTTTCTTGAAACTCTAACATTAAAGATTAAAAGCTTATAAAAGCATATTTTGAATATATTTTTAAAACATTTTTTCATTTTTACCTATGTGAATAACTTACTAGAAGATACATTTTACAATGTTTGTCTCTATTTACTATTTAGCTCTAAAAGGGTCAAACCGTGAACTTTGTATCATCTATAAATAGCCGTGATGATATATTCTATTTTGGGGTTTCGTTTTTGAGAAATTTGTTTTGCGTACCTACTATCTTGTTTTACTTAAATTATTTCTTTTTCACTAATATTTTAAGTAATACTGGACATTTTTAAATATGGCTGTCGAAAGAACGAATTTGATTGAATTTGCTACCAAAAATTACTATCAAAGTTGAAAATCTAAGCATTTTATTTCTACTGGACACAAAAGAAAAACACATTGAACTATAAAATCAATACATTCATTTCTCCGTTCAGAATCTAAAAATGTAGAAAGTGAGGAAATAGTTTTGAAGTTAAGCTAATAATGAATTCGAACCTGTTTTTAGAAGTTGTATCGAATAAACTTATTAATCAATACAATGGGATATACTTGATTTTATGAAAACAAAAATGTTTGTCTTGCAAAATGCATTAGTTACATTTTCATGTGCATGTGGAAGTTTCTTGACATTGTTATAATGTTATGCGTTGCCTAATGCCTACCATAAACGATAATTATATTTACGACTCATATAATATAGTCGCACTGCTATTATACAAGTACCAATCTTGATATTATTTACTATAATATCGAACTCCTTAAAATGGGCTTTTTCAATCCACTTAAGTGAAACGAAAAAAATAAAAAATGACATGCGATAAGTATAACTTTGTTATATAATTTAATATTCTTAAACATCATTAAGGCTTTACAATATTTCAAAACTGCTAAATATTTAGTATCGCGGTTTTAGCATGTCGACGGTATTTTTTTAAAATTGCCTACTACCTATACCAAATTTTATTTTTTTTTTCAGGAAACAAATAAAACTGATTAAATACTCAATTTTTAAGATAGTACATTAATTTATATTATATTATATTAAACACGAGACTCCATGGAACTAAAATCGCTTATTAAATTTCTTAAACTAAATTTATATTTAATATTTTATTCATTTAAAAAAAAATTATGTGGCGTAGACCCTTTTAACAATTTCAATTTTATGAATGCCCTTCTAAAATGATATAATAATAGTGGTAGGTATAAGTCATTTAAATAATTTCATTTCTTTACACGCCCTTTTAATTTTATACAGTATTTGTATACATATACATTTAACATTATACTATATTGTATCTATTAACTTGTCGGTTTATTGTAAACTGATAATATGAAATTGGAGGGAAATTTGTTATCAAGTGTTATTTTTTTTTTTTTTTATTTATTTATTTACAAACGAACAGTGAATAAGTACAATAAAGCGATAGGAACATTTGTTTGACACCTTCTTTAAGTAATTGCTTGTGTTGAAGGTGATGAGTTCATAATATCTTAATATCTAAAGTTTACACCGATCAGTTCTAATATTAAATTATTATTAAAAGGAGAAAGAGAAAAAAAAAACAAAACAAAACAAAACGTAAATTTAATAATCGAATTAAATCCTTAAAGAAAACTTATTTGACTCATTATATAAGATTTAAAATGCTTAAAATTACTGAAATTATTACCATTAATTGACATTCTATTATATAGTGTAAGTGCTCGATTTAGGCAACTTTTATATCCAAATTGTTTGTTACATTTTGGAATAGTTACATTTATATTTTTCCTAAATCTCGTATTGTAATCATGATTACAAGGAGGTAGGTACATTTTATGTTTAAAACTTAATAGCAACTAGCAAGGTACATTTAATAAGAAGTTTATCGATGTCTAAGACATTTAGTTCTTTATAAATAAATGTAGTACAAGTAAGCCTAGAAAGATTTCATAAGCACCACCCCATATCTCGATACCAAATGCAATAATTGATTGAACTAGGGAAATATATATAATTCTAAGTTGATGTTTATCAAGTATGTACCTAAGATCTCTAAAAACATAAAATAATTTACGAATTAAGTTTGTAATATAGTTTATATTATGTATGTTCCATTTTAGTTGAGAATCAATATAAGTGTTACCAATACAAGTGATGTTCAGTGTGTAACCTATAGTAAAACCATTTTGTTCGATCTGGTAATATACAAACACCAATAATCATAATTATTGTTATAAACTGTGAAGGTTATAAACAATTATCATGCATTCGGTGTGGTATAAGCCCTTTCAATAGTTCTGTGTAAATTATTTTAATTCCTAAAAGGAAGTCTGCATATCTTGTATTCGGTATTACCATCTTATTTTTCAGTAGATGTATACGCCGTTTTACCAGAATATGCTCGTGTTTTTTTCTGAAAATTTAGATAACAAAAACGTATTTTTCGATTTTGTGTGGTAAACAAAATAAATTAATAAATTGTAAAAATGTAAAATAGTAGGTATGATGTAGTATGATGTAGTGTACTAGTGTTGTGCATAATATTGTTTTTATAATAATTATTTTGATTGTGACGTATAATGGGTGTTTTTCGAAAATTACTTAGAACATTTGTCGTACACTGCACTGTGAAAAGTACTCGTTGATCCTTGTTAGAATGGATATATCTCTGATTGATGTGGATCGATGCACGTTACTATTTTTTTTTTTTTTATTATTAATTATCCCGCGGTAACTTAGGCCATTAGGAGGGGGCGGTACTGTAGGTTTTGGAACGGTAGGTGTGTTACACGTCACACGTTACTATTATTTTACGTCTTATATTACAATATCTTATACCAGTTATAAGTGCATATTTTGGTTATACACTGTCGACTCTTTGTATTTATGATTGAATACCACCTGTATGGTTTTATGTAAGGATCTATTGTATTCGACTTTGTAGAAGGATTAAGAACGCTTTGGATTATAATATGAGTTAGTGTTTTTATATGCATATTATTGCAAAGCTACATTTTATATGACATGTGTATGCCTTTATAACTTTATGAACGTTTATTTGTTGATATTATTGGTTTATATAATTTATTCAGATATGTTCATTTCTTTTGTTTGATTATATATTTGAGGTTAATCTCTCTTTAAGAGCAGTGGATTCGGAGTATCAGGATGAATCCTGCCCGCTTCAAAACTCGACATTCATTAACTGCAAGTATATTCTAATGATACAAGGTCTAGACTAGACAATGAAATGTTAGGCAGCACCTAGGATAAAAGCTTATGTACTTGGGTTAATCTCTCTTTGAGAGCAGTAGAGTCGGAGTATCAGGATTAATCCAGCCCGCTTCAAGACTCGAGATTCATTAACTTCAAGTACACTCTGATGATTCAACTTCTAAACGATGAAACATCAGGAGGCGTGTAAAATGTGGTTTATTTATAGAGGTCATTTTTAGTTTGCTACGGTATATATGATTTGTAATTAGTTTACTATGGTTTATATTATTTGTAATTTGGAATAGATTACTGGAAGTATAACAGTTGGAAGTTTTTGTATAGGAAGTTTCTTAACGACCTGGTGTTATGAAAGGATTGTTTAGGTAGTGTAGTAAATGATAATAACACGGTTTTTATTTTGAATAATAAAATGAATAAACCAAAATGAACTCATACCTGGTGTTAGAACAAACGCAATAGTTAAGTTAACTTCGTGGAGAAAGATTAATTTCAGATTAAGAAAAATTGTGCAGTAGCACGTAGTTTCGCTGTAGCACATCGTATGGTCGTCGTGAGTAGCACAGTCTCGGGATGATGATTGATTGATGGCTGGACCGTGTCTCCTCTATACCGTGTCTTATCTGTGCATTGTGCGTTGCGTTTATATAAGGAAGCTATTGTCTTATCCTCACTTTATTGTTATTACGTAATTATTGTTCGTATTCATTAAGTGGATTGCGCATGTCCGTGTATTTATGTTGTGTTTTCGAGTATTGTCGTTGGGTTTTTGGCAAATTTTATAGGTTAAAGGTGTCTTGCATGTTGGGTGCATTGTCTGGTTGCGCATAGTTTTGGCACTGATGTTTGGTTGTTTGACCGAATGTCGTACAGTGCGCAAATGCGTACATCTTATATTGTATTTTGCACACTGTCGTTGGATTTTGGTAATATTGGTGCAAGAAAAGCATTTCTCATGTTAGGTGTCATGGTATTATCATTTTTGCTCATAGTTTTGGCATTGATATCTGGTTGTTGGACCGAATGTCGTACAGTGCGCTATGTAGGTGTAAATATTATATTATGCTGTTTTTTAATGCGATAGCTAGTCGGTTGCTTAATAATGTATTGGTGTTGCGTAATGTTCTTTTATTTTTATTATTTCTTTATGCCCAAATATGGTCATGTTTTAGTCCGTCTTGTACTGTTAATTGCTTATTGTGGAGATGTTAAATTAATTTAAATCATAAATGTATTTATTTCCTCTTTTATCCTTGCATTAAATTAAATTTCATATAAATTATTATGACGTTTCAATAAACTAGGTAGGTAGTAAACATATACCAATTAAAAGTTCAATTCTGTTTGATGTTTAGTACGCTATTTTAATACGTATGATGGTTTGAATTTTTCCAGATAATGGAAGATTTACATCTGATGTACCAAACAGTCATAAGACCAACGATCAATCCAACAATCCAGAAAAGTCTATTAAATTGCAAACATCATCAACAATCAAATCTTCGACTTCTCACGTTCAAACGTCAATCGGTAACATTTCAGAATCATTAACTGTGGCGAACAATTTGTCATAGCCATGATCCAACTTATTGTTATCTTATATTATATTTAAATTTAATTTCCAAAACACTGTTTACAACGACGACGTGCACATTAATGATTAATTTTATACTGTAGTTGTATAAATAAATAAAATAGCATTATAAAGGCCATTAACAAGCGAGTTCCATGTTTAATCTGCATAATTTCCAAAAAAACGAATTTAATATGAAAACCCTATTTAAAGATATCGTTATTATTCTCAAATTGGCTTCACACATACTGTTATGATATAAGAAAGAATGTTTTATTTTCTTACAATAGTTTCTTGGTTTACTTTTTCACAAAAAAATCGTTCAAATGTTTTTGTTTTTTTTTTTTATTAACTTCTATTTATCACCCCTCCGCAGTTTTCAGTTTTCACCCTACACACAGTTACATACCTACGTGTATTATAATACTACACTGTATGTACGTTTTTCATTTACCTATTATTTTCGATCACTACTTTTTTTTTATAGATACCTGATAAAATTCGTCGAAAGAATTAAAAGCAAAATACAACACAAATAATAAATGGTATAATAAAAATAAATCTGCTTCTCATTTTAACTACATATGGCACATATTGTTTTGATATAATTACTCTCAGAACCTACAGTAAAATTTAGATTAATTTGTTCGTTCAATTTAGTCTCTTAATACCTATACTCTTACACGTACCTACAATGTCGTCATTTCCACGGTTACATCGTTGTAAGCGGCTATATAATTGTCTAGTATATACTATATTATAATAGTTGTAATACTTTATTTTAAATTTTGATATTATGATAAACATATTTAATTTATTCGAAACTAACAAATGTTTTATACTTTATTCATCAACCAATCAAAAAAGAATAACCAGTGTTTTGTCGAATGGTTCCTACATAATAAAATAATGTGAACTGAAATTGATTTCAATTTTGTAAATTGCATTTATAATTTATGAAAAGATTACCTTCTGATAATGTCATTATACAAGTGAAATTCAATCAGAGAACAATTGGACAGGTATTAAGAGAAATTACTCAAGTCAAAAGTAGCTAGATTTCTAGAGACCCAACAAAACTCATCGTCATTTTGTATTTATAATATTTCAAAAATAATTAAAAAGTAAAAAATGTCTAGTCTTTTTCAAGCAGGTTGTACCACTACAGTTATATAATTATAGTAGGTAGACCCGGTAATTGGGGTATTATTTTCAACGATTTTTTATTATTATATTCAGTAATTGGACCACTTAGTTAATATGATATAGTGATATATAACTGATATACAAATTGCTTATTACAAATTTAAATTTCCTATTTTCGTTACCATCTATTTATGTTGACGGCACTTCTGAATACTGCGCAAAGCATTTTTATCAATTATTTTCTTTTCATGGCTATAAAGATAATTCATATGTTCCTTTAGTGTTTTGTCTACTTCAAGACAAGCAAAAAAAAATACTTATACACAAACATTAAAATCAATTATCCTTTATTGCTCTGATCATGGTTTATATTTTAAGCCAACAAAAGTTACTGTCGATTTAAGGACTTTAAGAATGAATTAAGTATATATGGGCTCACATAGAAATTGTAAGATATAGATTACACGTTGCTCAATCATGGTCGTGAAAAATTTGGGCTTTAGTCTTAAGTAAAGAATATAATGATAAGATTTTTGAAATAGATGAATGGCTAGGAAATATATTTGCAATTCCATTTTTAAATTCAGAAGAAGCAGGTAACAACTGGGTTGCAATTGTTTTTATAAGTGAGATGCAACAATATAACAATAAATTAACAACATTATCCGATTTTTACACATTTTATATTTGTGATAATATTATTTTCCCTCAACGCATTTGTATGTGTTGGAAAAAAATAATAATTAGTTAATAAGCATTACATAATCGTATATTTGTATGTTACCTACACATTGATGGCCCGATCTTCTGGTACACTTTAAAAATATATATTTAATTTGTGGCCCAATTACCGTGTAGTAAAATGTAAACAAATATTTTATACGAAACATGTAGATGAAATGTGGGCCACATATATAATTTCCGACCACCTAATTTTAATATTTTTATTATAATACTTAGTTGTTTGGTAATCTTGGTTAAAATAAAGTTAGACCGTCTTTGATCAGAATCGTTTTTTATCGTACATAATTACTTACCATTTAATTCAAATTTAACACATTCATTACATTGAGCTACTCAGTACCAAAATACGAGGTATTTACACTCGAAATATATTATACAGACTGTACATGATATTATATTTTAATCTATAGCCATCTTGACCGGTGTTATCCCTTGAGATTTGCAGCCGAGTATATTATCAGGTAGGTAATCTACCTACGATCGCGGACCACGTACTGTTTGTACCGGTTGAAGACAAAACCAAAACGCCAAAATCTTATAGTACGAAAGCGCAAAAATCCTAGATTCCTGTGTGCCACGCTTAATAGATATTACATTTAGAACTACCTATATATTATATTTTAACAATTTTTATAAAATCGATAAAATCAACCGATTTATTAAAATTATAATTTATTAATTTCTATTATATTAATTGTCCTAACAATTACGAACATCACAAAAAAAGAATCAGCCAAATCGGTCCAGCCGTTTCGGAGCCAACCCGTGACCCAAAATCGGGTCTTGCTTTTATAGTATAGATTTACATTAGATACTATAAATAATTACTACTAGTAGGTAGTCAATTTTTTTTTAATTTATAATACGGTATTCGGAGCTTATTTTTGCTGAAAATATCAAATATCATTTTTTTCATATTATAACATATTTTCTTATTATTAGTAACTTACAAAGTCAAATTTCAATACCGATATTTTATTTTTTCACCAGCTACCTGTAATTTACATTATTTAAACACAATCCAATCTATTATACATTAGGATTTATAATATATTAGATTCACAAATGACGATGTGATTATCAGAGATTACCATAATATTATAATCAATTAGGACATTATACGTGGTACTCTTCAACAAGCAAAGAGAGTAACAATAATTATTTTTTGTTGGATAATTCTCAATGTTTATAATTAAAATAAGCAATGCATTGCTGTGAGAATGGTTGCCACCACCAATTTTCTTTTAAATTTTGTTGTTGGGTCAAAAAGTGTAAAAATTTAATACAAGGCTCCTGATATATTGTTACAATATCAGTTGAAAAATATTAAAAATACATAGGCACAATTTTTTTTTATAAGCATTTAAACATCGAATTTTGACAGAAATCTTCAAAATCTCGAAATTTATTAATCATCGTAATTAATAAATTATAAAATGTTCAGTTTTTATAGCTAAGGATTGAAAATTTAAAACAAGATTCACGTAAGTAGCTAATACTCTTACCGAAAAATCTAAAATATATACAATCACAGTTTATTTTTATAGTCATTTTATGTTCAAATTTGGACGAAATTACATGTTAAAAACCTAGTTATTTTGTTGTGATTATATAATATTTATTCGTTGGTACCTACTTGAAACTTCTAAAGTGTACTATTATATATCTATGATAGTATCAGGGTTTGTTATTGATGTTGATGTATAACGTGTTATAAGTACCTAATGGATATTGTGATAATGTGATATGATTAATTTGGAATTTATTAAAGGTGAATTTTTTTTTTAATACCATAGATATGTATATAATTTGTCTTAAACCTAGACTGACATACCGTCTTCGCTCAGAATCGTTTTTCTTATACAATGATATTGAATCATTGAATTCAAATTTAATAGCATCCATTATACAGTGACCCACTTGTAACCTACTGTACAGCAGAGCGACATCCATTTACCCACCTTTTTAAATTTATGTTTTAAATTTATTTTAAAATGTACACATGTTTTTACAAGATTTTTATAATGAATATATGATCTAAAGTCTAAACCTATGGGTGTAGAAAAAAATAATTAACTTTCAGATTAAATAAGTTGGTTGTCCAAATGACAAGTTCTGTCTGTAATACTACTGTTATACAATCATTTAAAAGTTTAAAATGTACCTATGTTATAATTTATACCGAATTTATATCTTTATTATAAAAAATAAAAATAATTTTGTGCACTATTTGGAAATGGTTAGTTCATTTTTATGTTTTTTTAAAACATTACAATTATTAATAATAATTATGATAATCAACCCAGAAAAATCCAAGGGGGGCGACAAATTCCCCTACTCTTCACCCCCTTCCTCCTGCAAACCCATCACGTGACACTTTTAGGAAAAATAATGGCGATTTTAGGCATAATTGAGCAACTGTTGACCAACCAAAAAATATGAATAAATAAATAAGTGTGTTGTGATAATATTACAAAGTATAATAATATCATATAGATTATATAACATATAATGGTATAATGAGTAAAACAATAAATAGTATCTTAACATCAATAAATAAAATACATCGATTTAGGTTAACATGGTTCTACAGAACTTCACCCAACAATGTATATATTACTAGTCATTTAATAAACATTAATATCTTTAATACAACACATATTTAAGAATAACACGTATAAAATAACCGATAAGTGATATCTCGTTGTTGTCATTATCATAAAAACTGTTTGCTGTGCCATAGCCAAGGGAGGACACTAGGAGAACATATACATAAGAAATATCAAGATTTATTGTCAAAACAATCAAGTTGGAAAAGTTGGAAAAAAAATATAAATTCGCAATATTGTAATACTAATTCCTTGTAAGTACTTCATATTGTGATTTTATAAATTAAATGTATTAAAGACAGATGCTTGAGACAATATTTTTGACATTTACTAGGTATGTGATAGTGCCCTTCCTTATTTATTAAAAATACTAACTACAGCACAGTCTGGCTTATAAACTTATAAAATTATAAATTTATTCGTCATGAGATATAAACTTTAATAATAATAATAGTTTTTGTTAAACGATAATGATGATGATAATATTAGATATATTACCTATATATAGTAATAATAATAGTAATAATATAAAAAAAATATAATGATAATAATAAAAATAGTAATCATAATAATCATTATTGTGATAAGTGTACAATAAATGATAATAAAAGTAATGATAATAATTAATAATAATAGTAACACTAGTAATATTAAGAACAAAATTAATAATAATTCATATAACTTTAAATACTGTAGTAGATATTTTCACATTTTATTGAGAAAATTAAAAAAAATATATACGAACAACACATCCAAACAATGCATAAAAATCATGTTGGGGGTAGGTACCTACTAAAAATATAGTTCTATTGACAAAGTGACTAGATTTGCATCGGTTTAACTAGGACTTTTAAATTACTTCTTACACACATAACTTATTATAAAACTGACCAATAACTATTTTTTTTAATACAACAATACAATTACATTTATAATTATATGACTACGACAACAAAACCACTAATAATTGGATGTCTCAACTCACAAAGACCTCTAAGACTAACACCTATCCACTAGCTTTGGCATTTTCAGCTCAAAATAATATCATATGACTGATAATTTATAAGGTATACATTTAAAATAATTGGGATTATAAATTCAAAATACAGCTATATTTTCGTCTCATTTTTTGAAATAACATTTATTAATTTAAACGAATGGTTATACCATGATCACTCATTGATCAGGAACAATGAAATATAATAACATTGAATTTTGGCTAATTTTGAAATAGATAATTAGCTGTGTAAATAAAAATGTATATTTATCAGAAGATAAAAAATGTTAAATGTCAGCTAAAACACAAGTTCTCACAAAAAAAGAAGATAAATGTATATTATATTATAATATACCATTCGTCTCAAAATATAAGTATTAATAACTTATTTACTTACACCCTGAAAATGTTACGGTTCCCTGTGAAGAGAAATGAAGAACACCGAGCGGATTGGAGTATCGGAGGATAAATGTTTTTGATTAAATACAGGATGGGAACACGGGGATAAGCGAACATTCCATATTTCCATTTTCAGAAATTCTGGTGAGAGATAAAAACGTTGTTTCATTCATACCATAGTGCCAATATCGTGTCTATCACGTGCTCTTCTAAAGCAACACAACATATGTCAGGATCCCAAGAAACCGAATAACTGGGCTGGTGATTTTAAAAACCCTGTGAATGTACTTTCTTCAGCATCTTCGCCACCACTACCGTCATCATCACAACCACGTTCTAGGCCACCACCACCATCACCACTACCTCCTTTTTCTAAGTTTGCCCGCCACATCTTCTCATGTTTTGCTATCATTTTCCTGTGAGCCCGAGCTGCTTCCCTAATGACGTATTCCCTGCTATTTTCTGGACGTTGTAAACAATGGCCGGGTAACGTAGGCAAGCCACAGGCTCTCCAACCTCGTCCTACCGCAGCCATACCCTTTTGGATCCTTATTACCCTTAAAAACGTTCGCAATGTCTTAACAACCAGTCCACCACCTAAATCCTTACCGCATCGATCCTCTAGCACGAATCTGCCCACTCTAGACCACTGGTTTTGTGTATTATACACTACCTCATCATCGTCTAGTACCCTATATCTTATATCAGTCCTGCCCCACATTTGTTCCTCAACCAATATGAATAAAATAGGGTTTTCCATTCGCCTGGCTTTGACTAAAATCTGAGCTAAAATATCCTGTACAGTTGACCCTATTGGTACCTTAAGAATAACGTATGGTCTTTCTATGGAAACATTATAAATACACACTAAGAACGTATGTATTTCATCCCACGATGACCCTGATTGACCATTTCTTGATTTTCTTGATTGTAATGATATGAGCCAGGCTCTGCTGCTTGGGTCATCACCGATTTTCTTTAGTACAAAGTATCCATTTCCTTGCCAGCGTGACTGCGCCTCTAACGGTTTCTCATTATAATCCAATACACGTGTCATCATGGGTGCATCGCCATTTTTCCATCCGATTCGTCTGTGCTTGGTTTTCTTCTGTTTTTTCTTCTTGATCTTTTTCTTTTTCTTGTTTTTCTTGTTATTATTATTGCTACTACTATCATCGGTACCATCATCGGTAACGAGGTTAGTGTTATTCCCCATATCATCACTATTATTTCCAGGGCCATTGTTTGACACTTCCCACGATAGGCCGACTTCCTCCATGAGCACGTATGTTTTCATTTCTTCGTCACCCTCATTACGTTTGTCTAATGCTAACCTAATTACGTCTGTTACTGTGCTATCCTGGGTTACTTTGAACATGATATATGAGTTTTCAGAGAAAACCCCATAAACCATTACATAGAACTTTTTACGGTGCGTTGATGGACCGTTGTTTTTCATTGATCCATTGTCCGCCGCTGGTGCTGTTGTAGAAGATGTCTTTTCGTCATCAGTAGATCTTGGTGCTTCTTCTGTGCTACTAGTACACACAAATAACGAGGTAAGTGGTAGTGGCCGGTTACGCATATTATGCATATCAATGTGCCTAAATCCATACAGCATGCTCGTGAGTGGTACTACACGCTGCGCTAACGGGTGATTGGTGCTGGCATCCACTATAAGGAATCGAATAAACGCTAATTCTTTGAACATCACGTTATACGTAAATGTTTCGTCCCACACGGGATTCATTGAATTACAAAATATAGTTTTGGATTTTCTTTTTATGCTGTCTGATGGTATACCGATTATTTCAATTTCGACGTATACATTAGCTCGAGTCCCTCCATTTGGCGATAAGAACTGACCAGAGACAATGCTTATACAAAAACATATCGGATTCAAACCATCAAAATCTTTTTCCGTTGGGTTGAACTGGCGATAAGACTTGTGTGAAGGATCGTGCATTACCCGTGGCTTTAGTACATAACCACTATGTCCATTCTGTTCAAACATGGCTGCATTCACGTGTGAAGCTGTGGCCTCCTCTGACTGATAGTTTAGTGCCGCCATCTGTACACCATATGACCAAAAATTTAATGGATTGAAGTTTGATGAATCTATCCTCATGCTAGCTGGATAAACGCGTACCAACTGAGTCTCAGAGTGTGCAATCAAATCCTTTGGGCGTTTTTTTGTGAGCTTTTTTGCCGAATTTTCACTTAAGGAGGAACACTTATAGCATGGATGGTGCGCGTTTATTGTAGTAGAACCACGACTATGGTAGTGTTCTGTGGATGTAGCTCCAGCGGACGATGTACTTCCTACAGTACTATTATGACCACAGAGGCTACCATTACATTTTCGTTTATTTTTTACTGAACTGCTTGGACTTCTTGTATTTAAACCACGAAATTTTATTGCCTGAAAAAATATTATGGATTTATTATATTTTATTATAAAAGCAAAATTAAACAAACTACAGTTAATCTTATACTAATTCTACAGAGTATTTAACAATAATTATTTCTTAACAAATTTATTCTCTATTCTCTATTTATTCTCTTAACAAATACTTAAATTGAATATAATAATAATAATGGTACTGAATATTTGTTTACCTGTGTATAGATGACTATGTCCGATAGTTCTTTTGCAATCTGACTGTTGTGTTTTTTAGACTTGTCATCTTCAGCACATTTATCATTTGACTTTGATCCAAATCTATTACGACCTCTGCCATACTTGTCCGTTCTATCTTCTAAAATGTAAATTCAATATTAGATATAGTTTATTTAAAAGTCTAATTAACTCAAAATATAAAACAAGAATCAATCAGTTAATAATTTTAATCATTCCAGATACTATTTTACCTAAGACCATAAATATATTTAATATATAATAAATAAGTATAAAATGAATTATCTATGTGTATAATATTGTTTTAATGAATAATTTGAAAAAAAATCAATGGAATTTTTTATCAGATATAGATAATATACCTAATAAATATATATTAATACCTAGGTATATTATAAGAATAAAATTATAAAATAAAAATGAATGCTTATCAAAATATATATTTATATCAGCGTTAGGTATGTTTAATTGCAATAGTAAATATTATAATAATTTTCTAGAAAAGTTGGTAAACTTTATCGAATTTTAGTAACTATAATGTTATAAGTACTTTCAACGGACTTTAAATTATCATTGAAGATTGATTTAAACTATCACTTATACGTTTATATTGAAGCATTACTTTTAAAGTCCAACTCATCACTATCTTCATATTCTTCATCATCTTCCTCGTATTCTTCTTCTTCCTCGATGGTAGTGGCAACATCTTCAATGGTCGTAGTGCCAGCGCTAGCTGAACTACTTCTGTGAGGTCCCACATTTGGATGACTGCTTACCACCGAAGGCCCGGCATTATTATTATTGTTGGCTACTGGAGGTAATATATTAGTTTGATTACTGGTCCCAGAAGATTCGGTATTAGACTGATTGATGTCTAATGAAGATTCGGCAATAGGATTCTTGATGGTCATTGAAGATCCGACATTAGAATTATTGCTACTCACAGAAGGCCCTGCATTAGAATGGTTGCTTGCAAGTGACGATACAACTTGTGAACTTTTTGTACTACTATTATTATTTTTCAATCGGTTTGATTCACTTTCTAGCGGTGCAATCTTTTTATTTTTTATCAAAATTTTGTATTTTAATTGACTTGGTGATGGTAGCTGTGGCTCATAATCTGTGTCGAACATAAAGCCTTTTACCAATTTGTCACCAAAAACGGACTGAAAAAAATGTACATAATATAAGATATCTGTAATATTTCATAGGTAAAATATATTATTTATGTAACTGTATAATAATTAATTTTTAAACCAAATAAATTAATCTTTCTGTTCTATAATTTAATTTTTAGGTATTTATCATGAATTGATTAGTTAGTTTCAACAATTGTCTTAAAATCTGGTAATACAACTATTTAAAACTATTAATCAATGCATGTCTCAAATTTTAAGTTTAGGAAAATAATCGAAAAACAAGGATATATCATTAATTTATTAAAATGATAAACAATATTTTTTTAGCATAATACAGTTTATTTAAATTATATTTGTATGCTCTACTTTGAATAATTGTTGAGAAATAATAAGATTATAAACACTTTTTTCAATAATATTGATAGTATTTTTTTTTTGCTCAAAATCTAAAATAATATCCTTTGACGATTTTAAAAGTTAAAAAGTCTTGAAATGTGTAAAATATAATAAGTACCTCGAATATTTCTGCCATGCGAGCTTGTTGGGCCAATGAACAATGGTTTTCGATGGATAATATGACAGGATATGGTGATGATACAAATGCAAAACGGTTAATTGAATCTACAGCTCCAAGAAATGGTATTTTTGATGTAAAAGTATGCCCATGATAGATCAATGGATTTCCATCGTCGCCATCCCAACAATCCAACTCAACACACCGACAACCAGCCATCAATACCTAAAAATCAGTTTACATAAATACGTTTGAGTTATAAGACATTTCTAAAGTATAATATATTATGAAAATATAATGTAGATTGTTCACTAGATTTGTTTAAAGTTTATTACAATTTAATTTAATTAAAAATGTATAACCTCTTTTAGTTTATCTCGGCCAACGGTGAATGTTTAAGATTTAAAAAAAAATCATAGGTCCGAATATTATGTAGGTAATACAATATTCCAATATTTAATTGAAAAATACTACCGCAAAGTGTAATTTAATACCAACTTAAATATCTTTAATTATTTTTTAAATGAGAGATACAAAGTAAATACTTAAGCTGATGCCGATAACCTTTGAATGTGGACTACTTATATCCATGCTTTCTATTGAACTTATTGAAGTCGTCATTTGCCACCATCATTGTGGGAATGAGAGTCTTATCAATTAGAAATGGTTGTTATAATATATTTATTAGTCTATTGTTATCTTTGATTAAAAAATATTTAATTTAGTATTTATTATTTAATGTGAAGTGTGAATTATGATTATGTGAATAATTATTTCATATATGTGATTTATATTAATAATTTGTATTTTATTTGAATTATAAGAATGCCGATCAATTGTTTCACCGACGACTGCAAAAATCTCAACAAAGCTGGTTTTGATTTACGGTTATCATTGTTACTGCTAAAAACCTAAATACCACTCGTGATGGTGCATAATATACCTACTTATTTATTATTCAAATATATAAAAGATAAATTGGGAATTAGCTCTGTCCACACACACAATAATAATATTTATTAGGTACATTTTAGTTAAAAAATAAATTGTTTTTGTTGTTCTGTAAACCTGCGGACTAAGTTCAAAAAGTTACATATTATAAAATAATATGGTCTTGTGCAGTATTTTCGTTTACTAACTGACTCTTTCATAATTGCTGAAGTCAATATAAGGATATAGGTAAGAAATATATAACTCAAAAAGTAACTATTAGAACTATTATTATAACTTTTATACTATAATAGTAACTAGGTAACCTATTACCTACTATAACGTTAACTATTTAAGAATAAAATAACTATTATAACTATTATATTATAGTAACTACTAGAATATTAACTATTTAAGAATAGTATATAAAAAAACATTCCAATCATTTAATTTATTAAAACATAATAATATATTTCTGAAAATAATCTTTTTAATTAAAACTAATTTTCATAATTCATATTTTCAATATGAATGATGCTAAAATTTTTGGGACGTCGGGAAAGTTTATTTCAGTCTGGTAAACGGTAATATATTGTTCAATCCATATGTTTAGCTACGGTTCAATAAATAAATATATAATTGAATAAGCAATTTTATTTCTTAATTTTTCTTGTTGATAACGAAGTATGCTGTGATAAGACCCATCTATTCCCACAAAAATAGCCGATATTAAACTTCAATTATTATCAAGAGTTAGCAATCTAGTTTATTGTCTATATACTGTGGGTTTAATAAATTGTATAACTAAAAATTGGTTATTTTCATATTAGATAGGTATATTGTTGTTAAAGGCTACACATATGTTTAAATGGTAAATTTAAATTCAATTGGTAAACCATTGGCTGTGACGTCAGGCCAAGGGCCAAGATGAATTTAACGAGTTACACAATATAGTTGGTACCTAATCATTATAATCTTATATTTCATCCATACTATTGACGCAAAAATAAATTATTGAGTTTTTGTTATTGTAAGCATAAAGAAAGGATATTTTATTTGATAATAATATATTTTAGGTAGGTATAATAAACCATTAATTTAAATATAATATAATATTACTTTATCTACAATTTTACCCGGCTGTAAAGATCAATAGAAGAGTCGCCTTTTAACTGATGACCCGTAAGGTATGTATTATGTGATGAAGCAATATAATAACAAGATAATGGAAAATTCATATCAGATTTCTCGATTGCAAAATCTGGTTCACTGAACACGCTTTGGTTCCTTAACATCATGAACTTAGCAAATCCTTCGAAGGAAAGACAGTTACGTGCACTGATTTCTGGGTTTGGCTCATGGTTCTGTAAAAAAAAAATTTTCAATGATCTGTTTAATATAATACAACATTTGTTGATGCCTAGATTTCAAAATTGATTTGTAATCTGTTTTGTGAACAAGAAAATCAAAATATGTTTGTGAAAAGCAAAATAAATTTACAACTACTATTGGTATAATCATTGGTGATCGAACACTTAATGAAGGTCGTAAAATTTACTATAAATGATATTAATATAATATATTATCTAAATAATAATTTTCGAAGATACAAATTATGGTAGTTAAAAAATTACCAATTAATGAAGAACAACGTACCTGAATTAACATTCGAGCTTCGTCCTCTGTACAAGTAACCATCTGTTTGATTTCCAAGAAGTTAATTAAATCATTTACTGACCATGTTGCAGCAGACTGTGACGTCTCTACACCAGTACAGTTAGAAATTATGCTAGACGCTGCAATAGCGTCAAATATACGCTTTTTCTGAGTTGTTGCATCAATTGGCCGTACAAAGTTATGTCCAATGTTTCTATTAATTGAGTTCGAACCTATGAAAATATAGATTATTGTAGGTGTAAATACAGTTAGTGTATTTTGGTAAACCAAGATGCATGTAAAACAAATTAATTTAAATTAGATTTTAAAAAAATGGTACAACAAATTGGAACGAATTTAAAATTAATTATCAGATAGATAGTGTAACTTTTTTAGACTCATTATAGGACCTTATGTTCTAATCCAAGTATGGTTAATAATAATATATTCTTGAACAAACATTGCTGTTCATATTGAAATGTATTTCAGTGTATAGTTAATATTAATCTTTTGATAAACTATAAAGTATTAAACATTAAAACAATGTTTATCAGGCTATTTATCACAATTTGGATAAATATAGGAGACAAATATTGTTCATTAATACAAAGTACAAGGAAACATTTAACAATATAGAGTTAAGCATTAAATTATATTATTATAGTTTTTTGTAAACTTTTTTTTAAAATCAAATAAGTTAAAGCTGGATTACTTTGAGTTTGTTCAGATATAGTTCTTGGAATAGACAAGGTTGCATTATTTTGTACAAGGGTATCTTCAGATTTTTTGTTCTTGTCAAGATGATTTGTCCCTCGAACTTGGTCAAAAATATCTCGAAGATCTTTACGCATTCTCAAACTGTAATAGAAAATAATAAAACGTAAATTAATAATTCGTCTAATAATATATTGTATTAATAAAAATTATTTAAAAAATACATTACCTGAAGCTATCAAATAGAGCACAAAAATCTTCAAAGTCTAATTGTGAATTATTTGGCGTCATTGGTGAATTATTCATATCACTAGGAGTTGGCTCTATAATTTTAGGAGGTGTCCTAATTCAAAATAATAAAAACAATATTTAATTTAATAAGTCAATTTTCTATTAAAAAGAAAATACTGTATTTTAATATTAATTAGGTACGAAGTAAAAAAATATATATAAAACTGTGTAATGTAAAATAATTATTCATTAATATAATTTGAAGTAGTTTTTTAACAACTATATAATAAATTGTATTGCTAAAAAAACAAAGCAAATCTGAATTGATACAAATGTACACACCTGTGGCTTATGGAATAATGAATGAATGTAATAATGAAAGGAAATATATTAACTAAAAAAGTATCTGTGTATTGTAATGAAGTTGAAGTACCGACTATTTAATTTAGTGTCTAGCTTATCATGAAAAAATTAATTTATCTAAATAATATTAGATTTAACATACGACTTATCTGCGGACGTTGATGGCTCAGAAACAATATTTTTGTCGACGCTGTCTCGTTTCTTATCATCTTCTGTTTGACTATTCAATGTTGGAGAATTGCAACCACTGCTAGCCAAGTCGATTCTAGATTTGTTGAATAAGTCATTGACATCGTAAGGTTTGAGAAGGCCGTCATTCTAGATACAGAATATTTTAATGCAAAATGTTACAATATTTTAATTATTTCATATTTTGTCTTGTAAACGTACAGATACACTAGCTACTGATTTCTTTTTTCGAAATCTCATCGAAGCAGCTCGTTTAGCAATGCTTGTCTCTGGCGATGTATTATTGGCTGAATTACCAGTCGTCGACCAATCTCTACCGCCAAATAACTGAAATTCAACGATATATCAAATCAACTATAATAATGAGTATTAATTGATAATTAATTAAAAGTATATTATTATTCACAACATTAAGGGATAAAGCCGATATTAAGTTCCATAAAAAGTGTAAACAATATTAACAGTGAACTCCTACTTCTATAATATCACACCTAGTATGCTGCAGTAGTATATAATTATTCAAATTTTTAGATTTATTTAATTACGAAATAATTTCTTTGGTTTAATATTTAAAGAAAGGACTGGAATCGAACCTAAATGAACTGGTTCTGGAACCGGAACCTTAAAAATATTAAGAGCTGGAACCGGAACCAACACGTTTATTTTAATAAATAAAGTACAGGAACAGAATAGTAATTTTTAAATTAAATAGGTTCTTTTAGGTTCAAAAATAAAATAATTTTATTTATCATAATTTTAATGCTATTACTGTTTTGTGAATAAACTATATATGATCATATGAGTTTTCTAATATTTCTTATACTTTTAGTTAAACCCGCATTCCTGATAGGTATTTAAAATTATTATACTTTTAGGTGCCTAAATTATTTTGAACCGTTACCTCTATTTCTTTCCAACAAAAAAACAGAACCGAACCGGAACTGTTATTTTATTTTTGGAGAACCAATACCGGAACTTATACCGATAAATTTAAAAGGTTCCAGTCCTTGATTTAAAGTAACAATACTAAAATATATTTGCACATATATGAACTTTTTGACAAAACAATAGAAAATCAAAATGTTAATATTAACAGCAAAAAATCGGTGTAAATATAATACACTTTGCGTAGAAGTGTTTATAGTCTTTCTGTTGTATTGGATCGACAGATCTTCCGATAGAGAACCATTCTGCAAAATACCTAGGAATGCACCTTGATTGAAGACTCAAATGGGAACATCGTGTTCTTTAGAAAATACTGTAAATTAAGGAGAATACGAGGAAACTTTATTGGCTGGTTGGAAAACACTCCGAACTAGACCATATAAGACAATGTATATTTTACGTAGCGATAATAATTAAACTAATAAGGACCTATGATACACTAAGGTTATGCCAGAAAGTTCGACATTGAGACTATTCGACACTGTCAAACATTGCTCTCCGCATCATTGTAGCATACAGTACAGAAATGATGTATCACCGATGATGACAAGTTTATTAAGTTTGCCTTCAAACATGATATAAGGCTGTATCAACCCAGCAATCCAGCAGAATTCGAACTACTCCATAACTCCCAAGACATAAAGCGTCTCAAACGTCAGTGACCATATAAATATTTGACTATTACCAGGACCTCTCCACTGGGAGTGATAACCCAAACATGTTTTATATATATCTACCAAAATATTTAATTAGGTATTTAATATTTATACAATTCTTTATACTAAATACAGCGACGGCTTTTGATATTCGTATGACTTATATGAAGTACCTACCTAGTCACACAATCGTAATTATTTCATAATGTTTATATTATTTAATATATCAACAAAATATAACTCAATAATTATAAGGTAAAAATCTACATACACGTATTGCATCGGCTGTCATTGGCCCACGTCCAGACGAAATAATGTATTGATGTACATAATTGTTCTTTAGCCATATCGAACGTTTATCAACTGTCTGTATAACATTTCGTAGTTTCTGAACCACTGTTTTAAGTCCATGGTGCCAAATGCTTTATAAATAAATACAAAATAATTATTATGGTATTTAGCAAAATAATACTATATGCAAATAGTGATAATAGTAGGTAGTTGTAGATCTAAGCGAGTTTTAGTGATTATTTTTCATATTATGTTTAAATAAATACCTAGTTGTATACAATTATGAAAAACCTTTAACTATCGCATTGTTATGTTAGAATAAAATGCGATTTATATTTAGTCTAATTAATCATAGGTATAAGAAATATTGATTTTATTGAAGCAATTTTATACGACTAGTGAAACAATATTCGACAGTTTGAAAATAATATTATGTATACTAGTTATGAGCCATCCTTCATTAATTGAAAAATTAGACAAGAAATATTGAGTTAATAAATAATTAAATTTTACATATGAAATAACTTTTTCAATTGATAGGTTTGCTTCAAAAACCAGACTACCTAGTCCACTTTTAGATACTTTTCAGGATGACAACACTTTTATTCTTTGAAAAAAAAATGTTGATTATGTAACCGAATATGATTGAGTACCTATATACTAAATATATACGGAGTGATTCAAAATTTATGTTATAATAATAGGTAGGTATAGTAATAGTATATTATTGTGACATACATTTTGAATCACTCTGTATAATATTATATAGTACATACTAATACTAGCTGAATTTCCCGGAAAAGAAATTGTGATTGTTCAACTCCTTTTATGTGTAACTTTCTATGAAAACAATGTCTTTTTAAGCATAAATCGTATTATATTTTAATTTATAGCCATCCCACCCGGCGTTGCCTGTGAGACTCGTTTGTAATTATGAGGACAGTATATTGTCAGATAGGCTGCAGATGGTGATTCTAGTGAGGTGCATACTCTAAAGTTTCAATTTTATACAAAGTTTGTCATTTTTACTTAATCCAACATACGGCGGATTGGATACAATCCGGTGGTTTTGATATGACTAGGTATATAACCTGACTTCGTCCGGGAAAATATTTTATCAATTCATAGAAAATCTTTTTTTCCTTACTATATAGTCTATATATATACTAATTATTTTTGGCACTATTATAGAATTTTGACAAACACCAAGGTTTGAAAAAGGTAAATATTATACAAAAAATGACCACTTTATTCACAATAATTATTGACCATTTATATACAAGAAAAATAAAAAAAATTAATACCTACTCATTTCTACTTCAACTATTATAATCTGCAATCAATGGCAACCATTTATAAACAAAAGAAATACCTCCAATTTCCACCGTATTTAAATTTAATATTTCTGGACAGATGGCGCTACTGTTATATTCTTAGAGCTGTTTATTTCTCCCTTTCGGGGAACAATTTCACAAAACCTATTCTCAGAGGGCATCTCGAATCTCCTACCTAGATATTACCTACTTAAAAAAATTCAGCTTTATGGTCAATTAGTTTTCAAGATTTCGTATTTAATAGAAAATATAATCTATTATATATTATATAGATAATATGATATCTATATATGTATATATATACTTAATGCTACTATATAATAATAATTATAATCTATTGGAGTACGTCTGACTAAAATCCTGAAAGTGGCCAATATCAAAATATGTGGTGTAGACTTTACCTAAGTAATCTGGGGGGAGCCAGTATATAGAATATTCGATTTTCACTTGTATTAGTTCCATATACTAATCCCAGACAACATTCTGATATCGAATAATTGTTCAAACTATATTTTCTTAATATTGCCGCTCCGTCAGTCTTTACTCGATCTCTTCCAACCGCACCACCAATAAATATGTCTCTGACTGTCGACAATTCCAAGTATCCTTGCTGGAGACCTATTATAAAAATCAATATATTATAAAATAATCATTATATATATATATATATTTGATTATACTATCAAACATATTTCTACTTATACTAATGTGTTGAACAATTAAAGTTATACTACAGTTAAAACCACAATACTTTGTGTTTTATTTTATAAATAATTATAATTCTTAAGTAAAGTTTCAGTAGTTGAAAGTTGTGTAAACACAAACTACTTCAGCATATATTTGATTAATATTTAAAAATACTGCCGTATTGCTGCATCTTTAAAAATTGATTTTAAACATATTTTATTGATCTGTATAAAAAAAAAGGTATTTGTTAAGAATCTATGAATTTACCCATCATTGATGGACAATTAACTGACGATCTGTTAATCAGCGCATTGGGTAAACTATCTTCAGGATCGGTTTTCAAAGAATAGTCAGGTGTACCAGAACTTCTTTTCAGTGCGCTCCACGAAGTCTTCTCCCAAGTCAATGTTGAACAGTTTCTCTCCAAACGTATGAAAATTCGAGCGGACCTGTTACTTGCCATTTCAGCTGCCCAATGAACAACAGTAGTCCCATGGTGCATTATCTAAAATGAATAATAATAATATATTACGAGTTCAGAATAAAGCCATACAATAAATTCCAAATCACTAACTGTTCATTCATATTTTTTAAACATTCCTATAAAGCATTAAATATTAAACTAAATAATAATAAAGATTATTAAAAAGCCTTTATAATTGTTAATAATCGATTAGTCGTTTTATTTTATTGCAAAATAAAACAGTATAACTGGAAACTATAATTTATTAGTCATGAAAGTAGTTATTGGTTTAAAAATAATAATGGTTTATTTAAGAGTAATTTTTAGAACAATTATAATATTTGTTGACAACAATTAAAAAAATATATTTATGATGGGTAACCAATAAGGAAGTGAATTTGAAATTATAAAAAATGAAGTCTAAATAATTACTTTCAAATTATGATTGGTTCGAAATGCGACGGAATACGCCATGTAATACCCCGGCCTTATAGTTTTTCAGAAGTCCAATATATTTTAAATTGTGCTAAAATCTTTACTAAGAAGATAGATATTTTTAATAATTTTTATTCTTAAAAATTAAGCATGAAAATAGAGTTTTATCAAGACAAATGTAATATTTTGTTTTGTATTTTTCTAACGTAATAATTTATTTCAAGAAAATTAAAACTTAACTGACTTGGTAACTTAGGGTAGATTATTGTAGACATTTTTTTTATTGACTTTTCAAAAAGTTGATTCCAATAAAAATAATCTTAAAATGTTATTAGGTACTATTATGCAATTATTATTTTCCTTTATGATCCTACTTAGGAAAAAACTGCATTCAAAAATATTGATATGACGTGGAGATCGTTCGAGTCATTAGGCACTCTTCAGCAATTTTAGGTATGTAAATGTAGGTTCCATAAATCATAACATTATTATAAATATAGTGTTGAGTTGTTATACTCACTTAGATAATAATTGTTAAAATATGAATTGTTTGCCTTATACACCATTAATTTAAAAAGTAATATAAGCTAAATGTAGAAACGTACAAATTGAAACATGAATAACAACGGAAATATGAATAATATATTTTTATTTCGTGTTACCTGTAATTCGTGATGACCAATTGTAAAATCTTTAGAGTTGGGAGATATCGCAAGTGGTATTAATGAAACACCATGATCGTAGGCTAATGATTGTACAGGATCGTATTTCTGAGGGGATTCTTCTTCAGAATTATCTTGCAATTCTCCATTTTTTAACAAATGCAACCTTTACGCACAAATAAAATAATTAAAATTTTTTATAAAACTGAAACAAGACCAAGTGAATTAATATAATTTATTATTTGGTTTGTTTGTTTTTTTTTTTCAATAAAATATTAATAACAAAAGCATAAAATAGTACGATTATATTGTTATATCATAATTTTAGATTCAATCAAGATTTAAAAGTATCAACATATTATATATTTTATTTCTAAAAAATTTCATTTTTTATATACGTTTTTAAACGTCCTTCTTTCGTCTAAAAGGAATCGGACATTTAGGTAACAATCAATCTCAATAATCGTATGTGTCTCGTATGTGTTAATAATGGTTCAAGAAGACGATCGATGGTGCGAGTGGTGCACTTATATTGTGTAGACAACAATTGACTAATAAGTAGGTACATATTTTAAATTATTAACTATTATATATATATTTTTAAGTATCGTTGTTTCATTGATTTTGGATTTTTATTGCATTTATATTCCTTTATATTATATGTTATATTAACAAGTGCTATAATAAATATGGTACAATGTAATATCAAATAATATTTGTTTCTAATATTTAAGTTAAAAAAATAATATAATATTAATAATTTTTAATTTATACATTACCTATTTTTGTCAATAAATATCAAATAATATACTAATTTATACCGACAATTGTGAATAAAACCTACTTAATTTGATTATAAGAAAAGCATAATATTATAAAATAACAATAGACCTATTTAAACATTTATTTTTTTCTTAACTTACTTTGCTTCGTACGTTTTCCTCTCAAAATAATGCCGATGATAATCTGATAGTTCTTCCAAGACTGATTGAACTTGATAGATTTTTTCCATATTAACAACTCCATCTAATCCAAGCGTAGTAGTATACCCCTCTAAATATTCATGTTTAGCAAATGTCTGTAATTTATTGAAAAAACAACAATGATATTTTGAGTTTAATATAATTTAATGACGTAATAACGTAAAACATTTTAAACAAAAATTAACTTTTTGTTTTGTATCCCTAAAAGTGTTGAGATAACGTCATGGCGAATGTACCGTTATACAATTATCTTGAACGCTGGTTTGACAGTTATTAAAATTAATAATCGTCGAGTAAACACCAACAATGCTTTCTAAAAGTGCATCGACAAAATCGGTAGAGTTTTATATTGATGTTCGTTGTTGTTTATTTTTGGGAAGATTTAATGATGTATGAAGAATTTAATAATTATTTGAATAAATCGGTGACCTTGTATAATGTAAATTACATTACGATAAATATAATTGAAACCGAGTAATATATACTTAACTATTAAAAGTTATTAAAATAATTTTCTATACTATATTGAATGTCTCTGATAAATGGTTAAATATTTTTAACTAAAAACACTGTTGAGTAGCAGACATATTTTAATAATTGTAAAATGGGTAAGTATAGCTTCAGTCTGCTGCATAGTGGATCTCAATAATATTGTACTGAAACATCCCTCGCAGAGGATGTGTTCAATTTGAATTCAACTATAAACCATTAAGCAACGATTGAGAGAAGTAGACGGTGTATCAGCATAATATTATATTTGTAAAGATAGGTGTTTATATTACAGGTAGGTTCTTATTGTTATAATATTATATTATTAGTAGAATTTTCTCAATTCGGTGGGTAAAATACATTTATCCCACAAATATTGCATATTGATCTTAACTTAATACCGACATAATATTAAACTGTGTGAAGAGTTTTATGGTTAAAGACTTAAGTATCATAAAGGTTAACCGATGTCTGATAGGTATAGGTAACTAGTTATGAGATAATGAATATTTGTAAAAACGCATTGTTTACCCATACAAATAATGATATAGGTACGGAGTGATGGTAAAATGTGTAATATTATATACTACTGATATTTTCTGAATTACAACAAAATAAGCAATGCTTTTGGAAAAGTAGTAATTTTAAGAAGATTCAATTCATCATAATTTTATAAGCAGGTATAAAATAATTTTCAAATTTTCGTGATTTTAATGATTTTTTTCAAAGTTTGAACTTTAAGAACATAGAATAAAATAAAATTAAGAACAGCTTATCTGGGAACCTTATAATATATTTTCAAGGTTATTTATCTAGATATAGTCATTTGAATGACACGTCGAATCGAAAATGATGAAAAATAATCGAACATTTAAAGTAACTGCTATAAATTAGTATAAATATTTTGGAAACTGTATATTATAATATTATGTATATAAAACGTTTTTATGGGAATTTAGTAACAATATCAAATCTCTTCGGTAATTATTTTCTGAATTACCATTACAAAAAAAAAAAAAAAAAAATCGATTTTAACTGAACCAGTGTTGCAAAAATTGTTTAAACTAATTAAAACTAATAAAAGGGCCTAAATAAGCGGGAATTGGTAACTTCATAACCCATAGACCTACTAGGATCTACTCTCAAAAATGAATATTAAAGCAAATATTGGTTCCAAAACGTAATGTCAGACATAAAAAATAAGAATAAAAAATGAACGGAACATTGTAAAGCCGGCAAAGTTGATTAAAAAAAAAAAAAAATTACCCAATAAAATAAATAATAATAAGATGTGTTAGTTTATTAATGAAACAGACTAATGTTCTCGGTATTTTCCATGTTCCTTTGTATACATGAAATCAAAAGATAATATACGTATATCATTTTGAATGAGGGAATACTATTATAATGGTGAATTTAATATTATTAATTTGATAGGTTGATAATCGTTCACACACGAATAAATTGTAATGGTTTACCCGCATATTTATTACAGGTAGCCTAAATTTATCTGTGCCTAAAGTTTAATAATTCACCTGAATAAAGTTTTGTCACCTGCTAAACAAAACCTATTTAATATCAATATTGTTTGTTATCAACAATATAAATACTAAACTTCAATCATTTATAGAATACTACTAACAGTCGAGTCTTTAATTTTGTGAACATATTGACCCTTCGCAGTTGTATTTAGACGGTTGGTTTCATAATGGACTGTTTATTTAAATAAATTGAAGATATAAAGCGATTGCTGTGCAGACAGGACCATTATTATTGTGTAACGACAAAATAATATTATTATTGCCTTTGTCATACTCTAAAATGCGTTATCCTACGATAAACGGCACACCAATGAACTTATATTATAGGTAGGTAGTGAGTAATAGTGCTGTATATAAAATGCATGAGTAACAATTAATATAAAAACTGATTTGACTGATTTGAGTTTGTCAAGTTCACAATACACACGACCGACGACATGATTCACAACTCGATTTTGTAAAATTTAATTGACGATTAAGCTGATATGATTTATATAGGTACCTCGCTTAATGCCTTGCCGTCTTGGTCAGACAGTACGATAGAGCTGGGCGTCTCTTTCATTATTTTCCTAATTTCGCGCATGAAGGATCCAAAAAATGGCACCACCGGACAGTCTGGCATAGCCAGGGCCTTTTGTAGAACGCTGTCGTATTGTGATGTCGACAAGAGAGCGTCGGTCAGATAATAGAACAATGGCACCTTCTCCTTTTCTAATACTGTCTGCATGAATGGCCTTATTTTTTCTGATCTGTAACACATAATATCACAAAATACATAATATTTAATAGACAGCGTTCAAAAACATATATTTAAACCGCTGTTAAACAATGAATTGTGCCAAAAGTAAAAACACATTTAAAACATCTCATGAATGAATCCATTTTGTTATGCCATACAACATCAACAATTGATTTCCAAAATATGTAACACAGAAATAAAAATATATATTAAAAACCTTATCTTTTACTATGATCATATTATGGCATCCGATTCCAGAGATGTTTTCAATGATTTCATTGGAATTATTATGCTACACAAAGAACCAAATTATAGGCATAGAGAAGATTGAACACAAAGCTCCGTAGTATTACTATTGAAGCCTAGACATTTACTAAGGCCTACAAACGCCAGTATAATATACATGTTTAGAACTAACCTTTTAGGTTATTTATATTCCATACATGGCTAGATATAATATCTTTTCTTCGCCATAACAGCATAATAGTATTTGCATAAGCAAGAACCGTTGAGTTCAAAAAGTGTAGAATCTCAACAAAGAAATCTTATGTTAATACATATTATATTATTATATAGATATGACACTATATAGGTATATAATATCATAACTATTGTATTAGAAAAAATTAATATATTTTCAGTTGGTTGACTTCGAATTTATTCATCATTCATTTTATGAACTAATACCTACTAGCTAGTATATCATATTTAACAATTTTTAAAAACGTATTTATTAAATTTAAAATAGTGTAATATGCACAAGTAAATATTAAATATAAATATATGGGTAATGGGTATATTTGAATCGTGATTTTAAGCTTGAATAGGTATGTTTTGAAAATAACAAATAATGACAAACATATTTTTACACTAAAATATGACAGAAAGACAGCGGGACTTTGTTTTATATTATGTTAAGATATGCAAGTATATACATAGGTAATAATTATTATTCAGTGACTAAATTATAGGTATCTGGTATACATATCATATGTACGCATGCATCAAAATCATATGATTTAATAATATTTTGTATATGTTATATTATATTTTACTGATTATTTCTTAATAACAGTTTTTTATTTTAAATTTTTATTTTTGGTTTTATTAAAATAGTTAAATTTATTTATAATATCCTTCTACTCATCCTTAGACCATATACATATAGTTTAAAGTTATAATATTACAATTTATATTTTAACATATTATATGCATCAATTTTTTATTTATTATTATTGTTTTCAGGAGGTACTAGAACTATAAATTGATAATTTTATTGGGCTTGCTATCCAACAAAATGAAATCTAAAAATTACAGAGATTCAAGAACTAGTTGTTTATATAGCCATTAGTACGTAAATAGTTCATAGATAAAAAAATACTGAAAAACCAAGTGCAACCGTTTTAACTATTTCACTGATGGTATGAATATAATATATATTATTTTATTGTTGCTATCAATGCGTAAACGTATAATATGTTTTTAATATTTATTTTTTTCTATGAAATTTGTGAGAATTAAGTTACATTATAATATATATTGCATTGCTATGCATACAGTTCTAACCAGAGCTTGCATCTGGAAAAAAAATCCGCTTTATATTATTTACAATTTTATTATAACGTTACACAATTTTTGGGTTTATCGTCATTTAAAATTAAAACGTTATCCAAGTGTTGCGTTTATCGTTATTTAAAATAGTGTTAATACCTATTAAATTTAAAAATAATAACTAATGCGGATAGGTAGTGGCCCGGATATAATCAATTTTTAGATTGTTTGCATGAAATCGACGTTTCTACGAAACCAATAGATTTTTTAAATAAATAGGTTTCATGTTATTTTCCGTTCAATGATATTTTATAAATTACGTTTTGCGTCATGTTTTGTTTAATGAATATATAATATATTTTGTTAATCGTTAAGTTTTGTTTTGCGGTATTCAATTATTTTTGATTATCTCTTTCTGTTATAATAACGTTTACAAATTTCAATCGTTTTTTGTCAAATATAACGTTGTAATCATAATGTTGTTATAACGTTGGCAAGCCCTGGTTCTATCAGTTAACTATTGTTAACAAAATATGTATTATCTATTTTTTTAGTTTATTGCATATAATGTTTTTCAGATTAATGTTATTTTGATAGATTATCCAAACATACCTAGTTACAGTAAAATTGCTATAAACTTGAATAGAACTGTATCTCTATTTTATTTGATATTTAAAAATGTACCTTAAGTGTTCCTAGCTTTTAACTTTTATAAACCCAAATTTTTTCATTAATTTCCAGTTATAACCTAATAAAAGTGTAAGCAGTAAGGATTTAGTATACAATAATTTACAAAAAAAAACGTATTAATAAGTAATAAAGTTTATTGATTTATAATGTCACATATTTAGCATAATTTTATATTAATAATAATAAATTGCAAACAAACAATTTTTTTAAATTATTTACGATTAAACAGTGAAATTTTGGTTACTAATCATTCTAAGGGTCACAATATTTTTATGATGTCTTTGAAATATAATATATTAACATAAGTTTTAGTACCTAGTGAGAAGGTTCAAACAAGCTATATTTTTTTTAGGTCTAAGCAAATTCAAGTAATCGAAATTTCACTGTATATAAAGATTCAAATCAAATAATAATACAATGAAGTAATGTTTTGGATTGTCTGACTTTCTCTGATTTGTGCATGTGTTCATATTTAAAATAGATTAAATAAAACATACAAATTGTAATTTTGTATTAGTTTTGTAATAATTTTATTCCATTAGCTAATGAGAGCTATATAGTAGCATATTTTTTTTTTTTATTTCATAACTTGATTTGATAAAATTAAAAAAAAAAAAATGACACAGAATTATTTAAATCTGAGTAAAATATAATTTGTTTTTTCAATATTATTTTGTGTACAATAGAACAATAAAGCGAATAAACTGAAAGTTAAAGTTTTTGAGCATTTTGATTTGAAAATAAATTGCACTATGCAGAAATTATGGTGCAATGATGCACATTAGTATTGCTGAATTTGTGATCAGCGAAGCTAGTAGTTTCCGCCGGCCTACAAACATTGTTGTTATAATCGCTGAAGACCGGTTGAAACAACTGCTTTACCGACACGTCTTTGTCCCGTGATCAATAACCCCAACGTCCGATCGAATTCAGTAATCTCCGTGATGTCGACCTGTTTAACTTAATTTCGCTTTCTGGTTTCGAAAATCAATCAAGTATTGGTTATAATTCGTTAGTAGGTATATTATGTTCAACAATAAATTATCTACACAGTTCATTTCTTGAAAATAAACCACAGCATTTTGAAAACAGTTGATATTTTTGTGGTTTTTGTGAATAATAATATTATAGAAACTACAATACAAAACTAGTTGCCAATCGGATAATGTCACACGAAAATAATATACCTAGGTATTTTTACTGTCCAACATTTTTACTCTCTGCAAAGAAAATAATTTCACTTTAAAACTCATACAACTTCGTTACCATAATAATGTGATAGTAGAGTAATCATATAGTTTCTAATCAAAACATACCTATGTAAACATCTTTAAATTGTATATTTTAAATTGAATAAAATAATAAACTATTTATAATTAAAATTACAAAAATTAATTGTTATTTTTTTATGACCTTAAATTAATTTAAATTTGAGTTATGTTGCGTTTACTTTGTAAACAACTTTCGATATCAGTACTATAAACACTCTCTAATTTAGTGGGGAATGCTCAAATGCAATAGCTATGTTTGCAATATTTTATAATTGCATAATTACTAAAATAATAATTTATTCATTCAAATTATACCAGCGTTTGTAGCACTTAACAATATTAAGCAGGGCTTAAATTTAAAATAAATATTATATCGTTTTTACGTTTTCGGATATTTAAACGTTATCTATACAATTTTAATGTTTATCGTTATTGTACTTTCAAACGTTATTTGATTTTTTTTTTCTGTTTAACGTTTAATAATGTTTTTTATAAACTATATTGTTATTTTTGGTATAGACTATAGGTAGATAATTTGACGTATTTGATGTAAGAACTATCAAGTTAGTAGAATTTGTTTTCCAGGGTAGGTTAATTTCTGGAAAGTCAGAGTTATTCTAGGTGTTAAATATTGCTTAAATATTATGGCATGAATGAAAGATGAAATAATAGAATATGATAAAATATTTATAACAATAATATAACTTGAAATGGCATAATAATGTTAATGGTAATATTATATACCTAAATATTTAGTAGGTAGGTAGGTGCACTAAACCACTAGCTTGCAGTTTTTTATCTTATTGAAATTTTAGTTACAGAAATATTCTGTTAAATTCAATATTAATTATAAATCAAACAGGGATAAAGTATTTCAAAAATATAAATTACTGTTAAGATAGGTTTGCCAATTTTGAATTGTTCATATTTATAACTGATGAGATTCATACTTATATTATATTACAGACTACAAGATTAAAAAACAATAGTAATCTAAAGTTTAACGTAAAAAAAAGCACAAATGTTATTTGCAATTATTTTATGTTACGTTTATTGTTTATTGTTAATCATTATAATTATGATTAATGATATTATATTATGTTTAATGATATTAGATTATTTTCGTTTTTCGTTTATTTTTTTTTTTAAATTATTTTCCGTTATAAGTTATAACGTTATAAATAACGTTTTGAAGCCCTGAATTATTAAGTTCTAAAATAATACCCTATTATGTAGATAAATTGATAATATTATTATAATTTGTTACTTGAGTCCAGCTATAATTTCCATAGCTCCATTGAAATTTCCAATGTTCCAACATTCCTTGGCCACCCTCAGAAGGCAAGACAATATGGCCTTCCGATCTTCGTGTGTCGGTCGAGTGATTATAAGGTGGGTTGTCCATGAGCTTACCTGAACGTAAAAGAACACACACACGTCAGGAAAATACAGTTCGGTATATATTTTACAGAGTACAATATTTCACTCTTATTGTTTGTTATTGAGCTGAATATTAAACACTGTACGATTTACAACGGTGTGGATGTAAATCGCAATTTTAAAAATAAATAATCATTAAGAGTACGTACTGCATTGAACCTATCTATGAGCTTTTTTACTGAGGTGTTACATGCGTTTGCTCCGTCTTGATCTAAAGACACTTGCTGCAAAAAATCAATTGGTGGAACGTCGTAGAACAAATCGTTTTCTCTATCACTCAAAAGTATTGCCACTTCTTCGGGGAAATGTAATATTCGCCGCAGCGAGTCTAATTCTGATGCAAAAGTGTCGTCCAGGTTTATCTCTCTGAATTCTGCATTATTATAAATAAAAAAATAAAAAAATATGATTTATTTATTTTATATTATAATTATAATAATATGGTCTTAAATAATATTTTTCTGTGATCACGATGTTTACAAATTAAAATCATGAGCACATCAATTTGAATAATAATTCAATTTAAAAAAATTTGATTACTCTCAAATTTGTCTTTAATAAATTATAATTTTAGTGAACATTTGATTGAGAAGTAAAAGTGTAGAACAATTATTTTTAATTTTATGAAATTACTCAGAACAAGTAAACATCACTATACATTAAAAACTGTTTATTAATTTAAATCAAGATACAATTATACAGTTTTTTATAATGTAGCTAGATAGTTCATTTAGGTAAATACGAATTATAGAATTTATAATTATTATTCTATTCTATTGAAAACATGTTAGTTTATTTCTGTGCATGTAAATAAAAATGAATAGGTACCTACTAAACACCTACCTACTAAGAAAATAATAATGAATTTTCTTTTAAAATGCTGGGTGGTTGTTTACCACAAATCATAACTATAACTCATTAATTTAGTACTCTAAAACGTATACCGTCGTAGAAAACGTATACAATATTCAAATATAAATGTCCCGATTAAACTAAACATTTTCAATTCAGCTTTAATTTTTGAAAGAACATAAAATTTAACTTGAAATACTAATGAAATTATTACTAACCTAATGGTTTACTAGGATTAAGTGGTGCGATTACGGAATGCTGCTCTAAGAAATTGTTGTCGATCTCTTGCAGAATTTTTAATAAAACAAAACCAATGTCACGTAATGATCGCTCTGTTGGTGTGGCCAATGTCCACTTGGAGTTTCGAAATTCAAGTAACACTTTGTTTCGATTTCTTCTGAATACTGTTTGCCACTATATTATTTTTGAAACAAAAGATTTAATTATTACAAATATTAGTAATACTCAAATCACCTAGACAGTTTACAAAATTAAAATAATAAAAAATATTTGTACGTATAACTTTTAAATTTAAGCTGTAATAAAAAAAAAATAAAACACCAAGTACTGTGTTAGTATTATAATGTTAAGTGAATCAAGCATGTCTTTTGATCATTTGATTTGAACATTTTTAAACGACTACCCTACTATATTATACAACTTATAAAAATAAAATATCAGTGAAACTCATGGATACCAATATTAAAGATTTGGTGGACCGGATTAAACGAACTCCTCCAGAATTTAATTATTTAATTTATTAATAAATAATGCATTGTCTGAAGTAGGTAGTCATATCATATTACATTATAAAGTTTATGACATTGTGTTCAAAAGAATTTATATAATTTATGCACCTATAGTAATATTATATTAACTGCTCGAGTAGTTAGTCAGGACAGTCTGATTATTCAATTTCGCATTATTTGATGAATAATTAAATGTAATATTAAATAATAAAACGTTAACCAAATATGCACAAATTTCGATAGAAAATATTGAAATAACCTTATGATGTAATAATTGAATAACTTTAAATGGTAAATTCAGTTCGAAAATAGTCATGTTTTTAATTAAACTGTATTTCTGTGATTGGAAAAAATGCACAGGTTTGTATTCATACAAAATTAATTGAAGATTCAGATAAAGTCCAGTGTATTTGGAACAATAAAACATTGTGCAATTCAAATAGCTTGTAAAACAATATAAAATCTATGAATTTAAATTAATTTTTGAAAACACTGTTTGATTCACTTAATCATTGTATTTCATAATGTTAACATTAATTTTGCTTAAATTTAAAACTTTTCATTTTATATATATATATATGAGTACAAGACAAGGGCTTGGTTCATTATTATCACTCGTCCATTTCATTTATATGTAGAAGTAGGAACCTAAATGTTTAAAGACATCTTAGGAAGTACAATAATATAATATACAAAGATATATTAAAACAATCCAATATTCATAGTAAGGTAAATTATTCATACTATACTTGAAAACAATATAATTACAATAAATTTCGCTTACCTGAAGTAAATCTTGTGTATTTTGACTCTTTGATACAATTTTTGTTTTATTGTCGAGCAAAATAATTTTATCGAAACTCAGTCCAAGCAAACGTGCAGCCTGCATAATACATACACAATTTCAAATAAGTATTATACTGCTCGTTAGGTAAATAATTATAATATTAGGTATACTAAATAGATCGTTTTATTGCTGTAAACTCAAAATTTAATATACCACAAATTCTATGAATAATAACAAAATTATGGCTAACAATATCATATTAATTAATTAACATTATTAAATATTTCTCTAATTAATATTAGGAGTAAACGGTTATATTTTATGATCAATTTGATAGAAAAAGACATAATAAAAATATCAATTAGTTTTGCATTTTCAATGTACTATCTATAATATATAGTATTTAAGTTATTTATACAAAAGTTAACAAAATAAATAAATTACCTATTTAAGAAAATAATTAAGAAGATTCAGAATATTATTATAGACAAAAACAAAAAGTTCAAATTGTTAAGTATTTCGTTGATTGTGAGACAGAAATATTTTACAGATCTTCGTATTTATCTAATCATGTTATAATAATACAGAGTGTAACAAAAAGAAATGATAAATGAAATAACTTTTTTTCCAATCAATTTTTAAGCATATTTCTTATTTTAATTTATAGACGTTGCGCTATACTGAAAATTAATAATAGCCAATTAGTAAATCTAATTTTTGGACAAAAAAGTTTATGGTAAAAACTTTTATTTAGGTCAAATAGTTTATATTTTACAATTTTGTAAAATATCAATATTTTATTTTTTAATACATTTATTTAAAACCCATAAATTTTGGAATTTTCTGACATAAGTATATATCCTAAATTAAATATTGGATATCCATATTATTTTCATAATTTTTTCCATATGTATACATTTTTTTTTGTGTGGTCTTTTTGTTACACTCTGTATGTTACTTAGTACTCAGCTTATCAAACGATAATAGTAGACTAGAACTAAGGACAATCATGAAATTTAGGGAGACATCCGACGATGTCACGATGACACTGGTTTTATCAACACCATTTACGCAGTATATAATAAAGCGGAAATACGGCTGTTTCCTCTTTATTTCTTACAATTTCTGTACCTTTGGTGTCACACAATATATTATCCACATAATCTTAGATAGCTCTATTGTTAATATTACCCATCGATTTAATTTTTATTTCCATAAAATATTAATTTAAATATTTATTTCAACAATCGATTGATTGTTATATTATATTGATTGTTATATTATCAAATTACCATAAATACAACAAAGTGTTCACAATCGATAAAAAATAGAGATTATTACAAGTGAAATCTTTTTATGTTAGTAGGTTCCCAATAACAATACAAATAACAATAATATTTGCATTCGTAAAAAATACATTTTTGTTACCAATTAAAATTCAAGTTATTATAATAAAGTACGGTTACCTATATATTTATTAGCAATTTTATGGAATAATCTGCAATATAAATTATTGTATTTAAAATGTTCATAATATATCTGTTGTTTTAAAAAAAAAAAAAATTGAAATGTTATCAAAAAATATTTAATATTTAATAGGTACATACTACATAGCTTATCGATGTGTAATGTCAAATGTAGTCCAATTTTCAAATAAAATATGAAACTGTAATGGGTATTTTCGTAATTTTATATTATTCAGTATTTATATATAAGCATATAACCAATAAAAAAAAAATTATAGTTAGTGTCAGATAATGCATATAATATTAAATATAAATCATTATAAAATCAATCAAATACGATTATTCCAAACATTTTAAATATTAAAATAAAATTGTTAATTTAATTTAATTTAATGATTTCAGAATATGTTTTAAAATTTTTTATATGAGTATAAATTACATACCGAATAGTATATATTTTTATTAAACCATAATATTATACTTATTATTATATTAATTAAATATACCTAATATCTATATACTATAAAATGCAAATTGCACATACTACAGAATAGAAAGTGTTAAACATCCCTTAATTACAGAAAACAACAACTAATACAATACTGTTGGAAACAATTTTTTTTTACTATACCTAATATAGAAAGGACACCAATATCAATAATTCATATTAATTGCTTATAAATAAATTATATATAGAACTATTAGATTTTTATGGGTGCATATTATAACATAAATTGTAAATATTACAAGTTTATAGAATTAAAAATATTACCTTTGTTTTTGTTCTACCGCGTTGAACTTCTTTGACAAAGTAAAAATTACAACCGAACGCCGGTAGACGTTTACATCTCTCAACATAAATACGTTTCAGCTGCAACTCTGAGTCGTTCTGAATTGTGTGGGCCACGATCTTTTTCAATTCCTGTTAACAAACGAAAAAAAAAAACGAAAACAAAAAACAAAAAAAAAATCGTCATTTTTAAAAATATCTAAGTTCAAAAAACTAAAATGTGTCAAGATTAAAAATATGAACAATCATTAGGTAGGTACGTTGTTTTTGTTTCGTTGTTATATTATATAGCATATTATTATTACACACTGTGTGATACATTTCACGTCATACCGTTACCAATTTAATTCTATAACACGCCAAGAGATAAACTAAATGGATTTTACATGTACGGGGAAACATTATCAAAACTGGTCAATAATAGTTGAAACCATAATAACTATTGTTGGTAATACATATCTAGAAAATACAAGTTTATCGAAACGTTTGATTTATGGAAAAGAAATAATAAATATTGTAGTAGTATATAGTAGCGTGACAGGTATTAGCCGAGATATTTAGCCGGGATTAATAAATTCTAAAAATCTTTAATTACCGCATACCTACCTAAAAAAACCGACCACCAACTAAATAAAATTACTGAAATAATGGTATATAAATAATTATACAACGACAAAACATAAACATTGCTAATTAAATAAAAAAACAAATTGCAAAACGCACCTATACAGTTTCAGAGGGAAATCAAATTAATTAAATAACCATAGGTATAGGTATCGAATTTAAAAAGAAAATTAAAAGGCGTGAGTATAATATGTGTCTTATCTTTCATAATTATATGAATATTATAGTGCAAATGTGTTGATACACATTATTTGACCCTAATTAAACTTCAGTTTAATATAATTTTTATCTGAACGTTTTGCAGAACTAAAATAAATACAAACAAATGAGTTCGGTTAGGTGTTTTCGATTATGTCGATTATTTATAATGTCTACGAAACGTAACGATGAATTAAAATATATCAATTAATTAACTATGATATAATAGTAATTGAGGATATAATAGTGTTTTATTTTGTTATAATTACCAAGATCCGTTGATGTATATTGACTATATTGCGACTACTACTCAAAACTTTGAAATTTTAATTTCGTCTTCTACTCGATGTTTAAATAAGTTAGATAATGCGCAATACAGATGAATGCTGTTGGAAAAATATTTCTGTACGTCTATGTGCGAAGTCTGAAACTTAAATGAACAGTCTGCCACATGGTGTGTTGCTTTTATACCATCCGCCGCAAAGAAAAATATTACCATATGAATAATTTCGCTAAACCAACCGCAACCGTTGCGCGTTAAACCGGCGTGAACATCCAACCAAACGTTTGTGGTCCAAATAAACGGAATTAATATGCTCTTTGGATGTTCATTAATGTGTGTAGACAAACAAAAAAAAAAAAAATGGATAGGTTAAATATGGTATAGGTACTATATAAAAATTGCCTACATCCTTTTATATTATTCGTATTCGTTAAATGTGTTCGTGTTCTACACGCTGAAATTAACTTAGTGAAAATGATTTTTCCCCAACCATAATTTACTTGTCATTTAATCACCCGTAGTAATCATTTTAAAACCACTCCATTTCAAACACTATTATTTAAGTTTCTTGATCGGTCATGTGTGCAGACAAAGGTTTTTAACAACTAAAAAGATTTATTTCAGTGAACTATAATATATTATGAACAAGTTCGAATTTTAATAACTGGACAATATTTTGAAAAAAAAACTCAAGCATTCTTAATGTGTTCGTTCATACAAGCAAATAATACGCGTGTTTTAATTATTGTGTGTGAACATTGTTAGATTTGCTTTCAGAAAGGTAGTGATTAGAGATTACTAAAGCTCCATCGATTACCATACAAAATGCAAAAGGAATTTGTTATGTTCTATAAAATTCTAAAAGTAATTTTGAACAGAAGTACCTACACGGTTTTGAATCGTTATCGTTAATGGTACCATCAACAACATTTAAATATTAGTTTATTTCAAAATCGTGTTTATGATGACATTAAAGTGGTAGGTACACTATTTGATATATTTTTTTTTTACTCAAGTGCTTTAATTGTTATTTGTTAAAATAAATTAACACATAAATAAAACACACCGATTATATTAAAAATTCCAAAAATAGTACAATTTCGTACCTAAAATATTTATTTATATTTATCACTTTTATCAATTTTATTATTTACATAATTAATTATACTTTTTGTTGATGTTTGCTATTTTAAAATCTAATATTTTGTAAAATGTATTATAATATTCAATTTAAATGCTTTGAAATAACTATCAAAATGTAATTAGTTTTGTTTTAACTATAGTAAATTATATTTATATATAATATATATATATAATGACTGTTCTGTTTGAAGTCCAAAAACTACAACTATATTATAATAATCACTTCACAGACTCATATGTTTAATTAGATATATTATGAGTATCTTTAAAATTGAATAAATATTTCGAATTAACTAATATTCAACTTGCACTAACGTTTCAATACCTAAATTTTTTTTAATAATTAAAATCAGTTTTAGTTATACTTATAAGAACTTTTTCAGAACCGTATTAGATTATTATGTGATCAAAACAATTATGTAAATATATTTTTAGGTAAAATGTTTAAGATATTTTCTAATGATGCTAGATTACTACTCGATAATATATTATAAAAATAATACATTTTCGTTTATAAGAACTTTAAAAGATATCCGTAAAAACATACTCATAGTCCACACAAAAATATGAATCCAGTATAAATTTATCGTGTATAAAT